CATTTTTCTCTTCCTGGCCAAATATATTTGTGTTCCTCTCTCTTACTCTTACGCCTTATTCATATCATTCACAGACCACACATCTGTCTCTCTCATTAAACCAGAGTTTAGTGGGGGTAATAACAGTATTTTACATACCTTTGAATCTTTGTTGCTCATTGAGCACATGGTAGTTGCTCAGCTTAATATTCAGTTGAATTAACTGCAACAGCAATAGTATATATTCAGCAAATATTTATTGAATCAGACTCTGCTAGGCAAAGAGGGCAAAAAGATACTGTCCCCCTCAAAGAACACATGATCTATTGCCAAGACAGACCTGGAAATAATTATAATATAATATGATAGTTTCCAAAATGGCAATAGCTATAAACTTTAGATCTGTAATGAAAAAAACATGTAAGTCTTATGGGGAGGTCCTGGAATAATACCATGAAAGAAAAATAGTACCCAGTATCAATCATAGTGCCAAGGAAGACTCTCAGTAAATATTAGAAATTGAATAGATGAGCATAGTTCATCTGAAGAGTGCAAAGGAGTTTGCCAAATTGTCAAACGTAAAGAGAACATTCCAGTCAGAAATCCTATTCAGAGGCTCAGAGGTATTGGAGACTCAGTTGGTATTGGTGGAGCATAAAGTTTGAGGTTAAGTCAAAAGAGAGAAAGCTGTTCCTAGAGGCGATGGACCAGATCATGAATGGCCTCCTCCGTGAAAAAGAAGTTAGATTTTTATCTTGCAAGCAGTGGAAAACCAATGATGTGACAAATAAAACTCCTGTATTTCAGGGGCACCTGGGTGGCTCAGTCAGGTAAGCATCCGCTTTGGGCTCTGGTCATGATATCAGGCACCCTGATGAGCAGGGAGTCTGCTTTTCCCTATCCCTCTGCTCCTCCCCCTGCTCATTTTCTCTCTCTCTGTCAAATAAATAAATCTTTAAAAAAAAACACTATATTTCAAATCATACCATATGCCAGGCAGGTACGTATAATCCTACTACAGAGTTGATACAGTATTATTTTATAGTTGAGAAACTGAAGCTCAGTGAGATTAATTAACTTGCCCAGGTTTTCACAGCTACTAAGTGGAAGAACTAGGATTTAAACTTAGGTTGGTTGAGTCCAGACCTCCCATCTGCTTTTTAAACTGTATTTTACAGCCCCTCCAGCAGGGAAGAAACTAGATTTATTTTTACTTTTTTCAACCGGTGTCTTTACCTCACATGATTTTCAACTCTGGCAAAATTCAAAATTTTTATGTACTTTTAAGTTCTTAACGGTTTGGGAATCTTTCATTTGCTGAAGGCCCCAAATGATATCTTATAGTAACTTAGCAGACTACTTTCTATTTTGGTGTTATCTTCTATCTAGCTAGTTCAAATAACTGTCTTGACTAATGAAGAGCCTTTGGTTGCTGGGGGGTGTTCACTATGGAATGCCATGGCCCAATCAGCATGATTTGCATACTCTAAAAGAGAAAAATTTGAAGCACTACTTCCCTTTTTTGAAATACATAGATCATAGTCTTAAGCATATATAAAGAATTATAATTACTTTAAGAACATCCAGTGTTAATCTTGATATTCTATTTATTATGGATGTACTTTACTATTTAAATAATGAGTTCTGCCTCAGAATCTGGTGTCCTTTAAGCTTTAAGTGCTTCTGATATTATCTAGATTTGTGATCCCTCTGGCCACCCTAGCAGAAGATTCTTCCTAATTTTAATGGCTATTAAAATGTGGTAAGTTCTGGAAATAGGGGTTGTGATTGCACAACAATGAGAATGCACTTAATGCCCTTAAACTGTACACTTAAAATGGTTAAAATGCTAAATTTTAGGGGCACCTGGGTGGCTCAGTGGGTTAAAGCCTCTGCCTTGGGCTCAGGTCATGATCCCAGGGTCCTGGGATCGAGCCCCACATCGGGCTCTCTACCCAGCGGGGAACCTGCTTCCTCCTCTCTCTCTCTCTCTCTCTGCCTGCCTCTCCGTCTGCTTGTGATCTCTGTCCGTCAAACGAATAAATAAAAAAATCTTGGGTCACCTGGGTGGCTCAGTGGGATAAAGCCTCTGCCTTCAGCTCAGGTCATGATCTCAGGGTCCTGGGATCGATCCCCGCATCTGGTTCTCTGCTCAGCGGGGAGCCTGCTCCCCCCGCCCCCCACCTACTTGGATCTCTGTCAAATAAATAAATAAAATCTTTAAAAAAAAAATCTTTAAAAAATGCTAAATTTTATATCATGTATATTTTACCACAATAAGAAAAATATGGCATAGAAGTTCAAAATGACTTCAGATCTCTCTCTTATCAAGCAGTTAACCACATATTTTTGAGAATCTTTTGTTCCCTATAACTTGAGGTAGGTGTAAGGGAATGGTTTATCTTCGTTCTACCTATCCCATCATCAAATTAAATGTTCTTAATACAAACTTAGGGAAAAAAAAGGACTTTACTTACTTTGGTGCAGGTATAAAGACAGAAGCGTGATAATGATATTATGAGGCACTCATCCTCCTGATGGATGCCTTTTGGACTGGCTGCTATTGGCCCCAGCTTCCCTTTATTCAGAAGGGTGGCTAAGGAGTTAAGTAGGCTATCCAAATGTCACCTACACTGGTGTGAGGTGCATAGTTGCAGCTCCAGCTCTCTAAAGTTCAGATTTTTAGGTTCCCTCCTCTTAACCTCCCCCTGTCCCCATACCCCAGTATCAGGAGAAATTAAATTTTCACCCATTAGATTCCCCAAAATTAAAAGAATGTGCTGGTGAAGATATGAGAGACATTCATATTGTTGGTGAGTGAATTGCATAACTGTTTTTAGAAAATAATGTGGTAATAACTGTTAGAAAATTTTAAGTTCACATACTTTTGGTTTAATAATCCCACTGAGTTGCCACTATTGTGTACAGACATTAGTACAAGATTATTTTGTGTGTGTGTTGTTTATTGTGGTTAAAAAAGAAAAAAAAGTACAAGCATCCTGGAAGCCAGTTAAGTGGTTGAACAAATGTTCTACCATTCTAAAGACCCATATTTAGCTATTAAAAAATGAGTTAAATCTATATGTTGGCTGGGAATGAATGGTATATTATGTGTTTAAAAGTTGTAGCATTAATAATTTGTAGTATGATCTTAAAACAAAACCAGAACTATATGTATGTTAGAGAATAGAGAAAAGTGTAATAGGATTCATATCAAACTTAAAATGGATTCTGTCACGGACATAAGCTTAGAGGTAGGATTGATTAACTTTATGTGTACAACCATGTTGTTTACAATCTTTGTAATTTTTTAAAATATTTTTTTAAGATTTTATTTATTGACAGAGAGAGAGAGAGAGATCACAAGTAAGCAGAGCAGCAGGCAGAGAGAGAGGGGGAAGCAGGCTCCCTGCGGAGCTTGATACCAGGACCCTGGGATCATGACCTGAACTGAAGGCAGAGGCTTTAACCCACTGAGCCACCCAGATGCCCCCAATTTTTGTAATTTTTAACAAGTTTCTGAAGTAAGAGGGAAGGAGAGATCTATAATGATAGAAATTAATAATAGGGATTTCTTTGGATGACTGAGAAATGGGTACAGTGGAAACCTTGGTACTGGTAATGATCTATATTTTGATGTGGGCTTTGGTTACACAGGCATCTTCAGTTTGTAATAATCCATATAGTTGTATGCCTGTGATTTGTATAGATTGTATATATATCAAAGTGTATTAAAATTATGTCACAGCAATACAAGGGAATATGATCATGTTTTTAAAAAGCACTTTGAGTAAATATAATGATATATGAAGGTGTGCAAAAAACAGGACAACCCCATTATTATGAAATATAAGGTACATATAAGTACACAGAATGAAGACTGGAATAAACTACAATATTAACAGATATCATGTCTAGATTATTTTTGGTTTTGGGTTTTCATTTTGGGTAGTTGAAGGAGTCTGTAGGAGGTGGTGAGCAAAGCTGCACTACAGGATATTAACCAGAAAATAAGGGTGAAGGAGAGAGGAAAGGTTTAAAAAAAAAAGGAAAAAAAAGGAAAGAAAGAAAGAAAAATGCTAACTAGAGACATGAGGTAAAGTCAGGTAACTTTAACCCCTGCTAGGAAGGGACTCCTACTAGGAAGGGACTAATTTCATCGGTCAAACCATCATGTGGTAATAAAGCCATATGAAATATTCTTTCATCATACTGTTTTCGATTTTTACAAATAATTCATACTTGATTCTCAAGTTCTGTTTTTGATTAAGCATGTTTTAATGAAACTGTCATTAATATAGTTTCAACTGATTGTAGCAAATGCAACTCTCCTAGTAGCTTAAGAAACCTATACTTTGCCCAGTCTTCACTAATTAACTATGGTAATTTGCTTAGATATTTTTGAGCCATAGGTTGATATCGGGACTAATACCTCCCCAGGTTGGCTTGAGAATGAAATGAGAAAATGTATGTGAGAACACTTCAATGGAAGTAAACACGATCCACTTATAAGATTACATTATTTTTGTTTTTCCTTCGCCCCAAAATACTTAGTTGTAAAATGTGGTTATTTCAGATGGAATTTATTTCACTTGAGATCAGAAGTTTATGAAGAATGCAGTTTTTTCAGTCACGTTCTGCAAATGTCAGTGCAACATTTAGTGTTTATCAAAGTGTGGATTGTGGTTACATTTTTAACATTTTAGACCAAATATTAGTGCTATGTATGACAAATTGAAATGTAAACTTTTTTTTCTAAGTATTGTTGAGTTGTCGGGAATTATCAGGCTCTTTTCCCTATTCTTCATTTTTCACCATGTTAACTTAAAATGACTAATACCCAAAATCAGATCTCTTCAGGTGTTTTGCAGGGGTTTGGATAAGAACTCAACTTCTGATGAGTCGTTAAATCAGTAATAATCTGGACAGAACTCCATTTGGGTTGGGTTGGAGAAAACTGCGTGGCACTAGGACCCAGGGGGCTCCCGTGAGCGGATCTAGGGGCCAGATTGCAAATTCGCGGTGACTCAGTCTGGTCGGTTCCTTGCGCTCGGCGGCCGCGGCGGCAGCAGCAGCAGACGTTGGCGGCCGAGCTGCTAGGATCAGTTCCCCCCGGGTTTCTCCATCCGAGACTTCTTTCGGGGCACCCCAAGCAGGTCCGAGGCGTCTGGGGAGCAAAGGGGTCGTTCTGGAGGGGAAAGGGGGGTTGCTCGGCGCGGGAAGCCCTCGGGCCTGTGCACGGGGAGTAACATTTGCTCCGTCTCTTCCTGTGTCTGGCTTTATTTGCAGCAAACCAAGATGGAGTATGAGTGGAAACCTGACGAGCAAGGGCTTCAGCAAATCCTGCAGCTGCTGAAGGAGTCCCAGTCCCCAGACACCACCATCCAGAGAACCGTGCAACAAGTATCCTTTCCGAGGCCTTGCCGCCGCCCGCGCAGCTCGCCCCGCGCGGGGCCCGCTCCCGGCGGCCGGGTGGCTCCCGCCGCCCCTCCCCCTCCTCCCGCTCCCCAGATCCCTCCGCCCTCCGCCCGCCGGCGGGGAGAGGCCCGCCCGCCGCTGCAGCTCCTGCCCGGCGCCTCGCGCACGCGGCCCTTGAGCCCGGGTCCGGGGTGCCGCCGCTGCCGCCGGCTTCCGGCCCGCGGGAGGCGGGGGCTCTCGGCCGCCGCCCGCGATCGCGACATGTGCGCCCGCCGGCCCGCCACGTCCCCGCCCGCCCACCGCTGACCTGCCCACGGGGTGGAGAGAGGCGCGGGCGGGCGCCCCGGGTGCGGCGCGGACCCCGGGCCCCACACAATGCGCCCGGCGCGGAGGGGCGGCAGTCCGAGCGAGAGTCTGGGTGGAGGGCTCTGTGTGCGAGACGGGACTCGCTGGCCGAGCGTCGAGCCAGAAATGGGGTGGAGCTGGCGCGGGGTTTAAACTGCAGCCGCATTGGTTTGGGGTTTCTTCGAGGCCCCTGCTCTCAAAGTGTTGGAGGACCTGCAAGTGGGGGGGTCTCAGGTCTCACCCCGGGGCTGCTCTTGCTCACACCTGTTGCAAGTTTCCTGGCTCCTGAGGGAAATAGTCTTTTTGGCTCAAAGGCTGACTGCTCAGTTACTCCGTGTTTACCGAGTTTGCTGGGGTTGCAGTCATAATTGCTACGGTTTTAGAGCCCAGAAAGGTTAAAAGAAGCAACAAAACCTGTGCTGTGTGTGCTGTCTGTGGTGCCCTGAACGGTGGACAAATAAAAGCTCTTTTTGGATACGATAAAGGAGACAGATTCACTCAGTCACAAATAAGCTTTTTATCCCTGTTACTTTGAGGCTAAAGAATTCTTTAAAAAAAAAAAAAACTTAAAAGTCTGCTGTTTTTACAGAAACAATTTGATTTTTATTGGTAGTGAACAGAACTATAAAATTTGGTAAGTAAGCTCTTTAGTGTAGTTCGGGCTTATTTGAATATAATACGCTGTTGAGGTGAAATTACGTACAGTTCCGACAGAAACTCTGGTAAGTAAGTTGAAGTCGAAGTACTGCATTGCTACTCTAAGTTGAAACTTTAAATAGGCGAGGAATTACATAACTTCTTAATTAATAATACACTGCTCATTTAAAACCAGAGAGGATAATGTGCTAGTACTGAGGTTAAGAGTAGTAGCTATGGAGTGTGTTGGACCTTGTATCTGAAACCTTGCTGTAGCCCAGTCTTAATTTCTGTTGTCATGGCTGTAGGAATGACCAGATATTTAATGAATTACAGGTAATTGTATGACACAGTTATTTCTTAAGTTAGCCAAGCCTGTAACCACCTTGTAATTTCTTCTATAGCACTGTATATCATTATTTTCTATTTTGGTACATATTTATTAAATACCTTTTATATGCCCGGTACTGTGGTTGGGCTGACAATTTATTTTACAGTTTATTCTGTGCCTGGAGCATGATATGCCTGCTGTATAAAGAACAAATTAAATTTCAGTACGTGAATCGTATTTAAAAGTACACATTGCTTTGTATTTTCAGAGTGCGTAATGATGAATGACTTTGTTCTTTTGTGTGTCCTTAGGAAAGCATTTATTTTATTGTTGTTTCTGTATAGGCTTGAGCACCTTTTGCAAGACTATTAGTAATATGGATAGATGGCCCAAGTTGTAAGAAAGTAAATCTTACCAGGAAGTATTTTTGAAAAGTTAGTGCATCAGCTTGTTAATATTGGCCATTCACTAAAGAAAGAAACCACTGGGTTTTTCTTTGTCAAGGAAAGTAGACTTTGGAAATTTTCTAGAGAACGTCTTTTGCTAGTTAATTCTGACCATTACTATTGAGGGTATTTTAGTATGAAATAAATAGCTAATACAGTGTACCTAGAGTTTGTACCATAGGATTAATTTTAAAAAATTTAGATCTCAGTGAAAACATTTGAATATTTGTCTAATAAAACACAATTAGGAGTGTTATTAAGAAGGGTATTAGAGGTTAAAGGGGCGTGAAGAAAGATATAATAGAACATTACGTTACTGTTGACTGCCAGCAGAACGAAATACCTGCAAATTTAAGTCACCAGAAATGGTAAGTCTTGGGGAGGGGGAACAATTTTAGAACTGTTGCAGTTCAGTAATTTTGTACTGACTTTATGTAATAAGACTTGATATGTAGACTTGTGTGTGAGTGGCATTTTATAGTCAGTTTTTTAACTCTGGAAAAACGAGTCTAGTAAAAGCACTTTTATAAAGTTAATTTCTCTCAATGATTTTATTTCTTTGGAATGCTTTTCATTTTTGTCGTTATTTTTGTATCTAAATACCCTTCTAATTAAGGTATTTAAAGTTCAAATAAATCCAGAATTCTGTTTTGAAAGTTTTTTTGCTATGTTGAACATTCTAAAGGTGGAAGTTGGCTTATGTTGTAATGAATATAATTGATATAAAGTAGTAAGTTTAATATTTCAGTCATAAAGCACCTAAGAAATCTCATGGTGAGGTTGATGCTTTTAATAAGATAACTTTATTCTTCTTGAGAAAAAAAATGCTGGATTGAAAATACCATGAAAGGGATTCTTGATTTTAGATTTAAAATGCTTAGTTTTTTCCTTAGATTACATTGAGAAGTTTCCTTAACTACTGTTTGTTCTAGAAACTGGAACAACTCAATCAATATCCAGATTTTAACAACTACCTGATTTTTGTTCTTACAAAATTAAAATCTGAAGGTAAGTAAGGATTGTATTGATAAAACTACTTGGAAAGGTCTTCAAGACCTATTAAAATAGGCTGAGAGTTATTTAATTTAAAGGTTTTGCATTTTCTAGTAACCGCTACTTTACATATGTGGAATGAGCAGAGACTTGAGTCTAAGTATTTAGATGCTTAATAAGCATTAGGTTGTTAATTGGGTGTTTTATAATAAATTCCCTCATATTTTGTGACTGAAAAGAGTGTTTCAAAGTCTGCTTTGGTGTTTTGCTTGAATTCTTATTCATGGATGTCTTAAAGGTTGATTTAATACACAGATTGAATGTAGGATTTACTAAGTTTATGTGGGTACAGAACAAAAAAATTGAAAGTTCATATAACCAAAATTTAAATTAACTTAGTCGTGTCTCCCAGAGAGAATTATTATTACTCTTGATTAATGAATTCTACAGTCTTGTATGGCTATATACGTTTTAAAATTTAACTATAATAGGGATCATTCTCTTCATAAACTTTTGTGGTGGTTTTTTTTTTTTTAACTTCTAAGTATACTGAACAGTGTAATGAAATTTTTTCGTTAACTGTTCTTCTGCAATAGTCTTAAATTATTTTTATGCCACTTCAAAGCCTGAAAATTAGTTTTATTTATTTATTTTTAAACTAGTTTTATTTTTTAAATGGTGTGGTCTTTTGATTGTTTCTAATACAGGTCATGTGTCCCAGTAGATTTTATTCGTTTCACAAATATTGTTGAGCACCACTTCATTTCCAGGCTCAAGGGCAATAAAAGTAAGCAAAATAAGAATCTCTGCCCTCATGGAACTTACACTGTAGTGAGAGGTGTTCTTCATAGAGTTATTTGATTATTGAAGATTCCCTTACTGAAACATTGTCAGATGCACAAAAGGCACTCAGATACTATGGAGTAATTGGCCTCTTACATGTAAACATCATACGCTGTTCAGTGATTAGTGTTTCAGAAGCCACAGAGCAATTAGTTAAAAAGAAAAAAAACCAAGGGCACTTGTAGTTGGGAAGCAAGTCTTAGTGACACTGCTTCACCTGTCTTGCTTTTCTCATCTATATAATGCCTGTGTTAGACTACCAAACCATTTGTAAGGGTTCATCTCCAAGGCTCTAGGGGGTTAACGGCCTCAATGTGTAGTAAAATCTCACTAATTTTTTTTTTTTTTTTTTTTAGATTTATTTGTTTATTTTACAGAGAGTCACTGGCATGAGTGGGAGGAGGGGCAAAGGGAGAGGGCTGGGGAGGATCCTTAGGCATACTTCTTTCCTGCTGACCACCCAGGCTTAATTCCAGGACCTGGAGATGATGACCTGAGCCTAAATCAAGGGTTGGCCACTCGACTGAGTGAGCCACCGAGGCACCCCTCATTGATCTTACTTTTATTAAGATTTTGATAATTTATAGAGTACAGTGATTTGTTTTTAATTAATTTTAAATATTCTGGTTAACTTGAGTGATTTTAATTTGTGATTGAGGGATGTAGTGGAAACTAAAACTTTTCCTAAATCTAGGTTCTAAGAAACTAGAAATTCCTTCAGCATATATTTAAATTCAGCAATTAATACTCTGTTTTTTAAATATACTTAATACTTTTTTCTTAATATAGAAACTTTATTTTTCCTACATAATAATTAATAATCAAATTAGTGTTACTCTTTTTTTAAGAACTTTAGTATTATTATTATTTAGTATTATTTAGTATTTAGTATTATTTAGTAAATGAATTTTTCTAAAATTGTTCTACTTGAAAATTTTTAAACTTATTTTCACCAAGCCATCTACTCTGTCATGTTGTGTGCACACCCTAAATTCCAAATATTAGAGATTGTTAGAATATTATACTCTTTCTTGAAGTTTTGGGGATATAAGAGTAAGTATTTTTAAAAGGAACCACAGAATTCAAAAAGCAAGAGAGGATGGGTGACTACCTTCATTTCATTAGTCACCTTTTCTCAAAGGACATAGGAGCTTAACATCTGTGTAATATAATATTACTTGTGTCTTGTTTGGAACACAAGTTTACTATGTCTTTTTTTATTTTAAACAAAACTGGCATTGGGGTAATCATATTATTGAAGGAACATAAATAACATCTTTAAATGGAAATGCTTACTTAGTAATCTGTCCACCATCCTCTTGTGAATTTTTTATACTGAAGTATGGAGTAAAATTTTTAGGTCTGGAAGAGACTTCAGAGATAAGCTTATCTAATAGCAAATTGAGGTCCAACAAAGTAAAGCCTTAACTTTTTTTTTTTTTTTTTTTTTTTTTTTTTTTTTGTAGTAAATGGTTGATCGGTGGCTCTTTGGATTTAGGACAGGACATGTTTTAGCTTAAGTAAATATTTTAATGTAAAAATACTTTTTAATTTTAAACCATTTCTGCTTTGTATTTGACTTACTAAAACTCTTCATCTTACAGCATTTATTGTAAAAAACAGTAATGATGATTTCTTATAAAACAAATACATGCCATTTAAGATAAAATTATATGACTGAATTACTAAGGGCTAATTTAGACAAAAGGATTATTGCTCGAAGAAGTTAAAAATCTGGCTATTCATTTATTTTATGGCAGTTTTAAACTTGCAAGAGAATTTAGAACTGTTTCTGTTTTGTTTTTATGTTATTCATTGGAATGGGTTGTAATTGAAACCAGAAAGAAGTTTTTAAACGGTGACATAAAAGGTTTCAGAGTATATTGCTGTGATGACCTGAATGGGGTTTATGTGCGGAGAAACTTTGTTATCCTTTTGCCTGTCGGTATACATCACCCTGGAATATTTCAGTGCCAGTCAGACTATGGGAGCGTACTGCAAACTAGAACAAACTCAGAGTATTCAGTTTTTTAAATAGCGTTTGTAAAATAGTAGTGCTGTAATAGCATATTCTGTTCCCCACACCAGCTCTTCATGTCTTCCAGTCTTTTAAGGAGGGTGATATTGCAGCATGCATTGAAGTCTAGGCTTGAGCCAGGCTCCTGAGATTCATATTTTGGCTTCCCCACTTAATAGCCTTGTGTGACTTTGGCAGAGCCCTCAGTTTCTTCATTTATGCAGTGGGGATAATAACTCCTGTCTCATGAGGTTGTGAGGATTAAAAGCACACTATTTGAAATGCACTTAGCAGTGTTAGTACCTGATAAGCTTCAAAAGATATTAACTATTACTAATACTGGTGGTGATGCCAATTGGTAAAGCATCAGTTACATTCTACTGGTATTAAATTTCTTCTTAAAAATTTGTTGACGCCCATCTGTGGACTGAACTTTCTTATGTAAATTCTATTTTTAACTTCTGAAAATTTTAAAACTGTTTTACCCTTTTTTTTTTTTTAGCTCAGAGTCAAGTGAAAAACATGATATAAATGAACATCATTTATTTGTATGTGAAGGTGATCCCATGTATTCTTTGTCCACTTAATTTTTTAATAGGATATTTGTAGTCACTAATACTTTCAGATCTGTAATTTGATGTTTGTATCAGGTCCAATAAAGCTTGAGTACAGTGGCCATATATAAACTAAATTAACTCTTAAACTGAGTCAGTGGTTCTCAACCAGGTGCAGATTGCCCTCCTCCCCACACCCCATTGCAATCCATTCCACTTCTCCAACAATCCAGACATTATCTGGAAACATTTTTGTTGTTAGTACCTTGGGAAGGTGATACTGGCATCTCTGGCCAGTAATACTGCTAAACATCATAGAAGGCACAGGACAACACCCAGCAAAGAATTATCTGACCCAAGATGTCAATAATGCCAAGGTTGAGAAACTCTGAACTACAAATCATGGAGCTAATCTTCCGATAATCATTTATGATACTTTTTTTTTCCTTTTTCCTGGTTATAGCAAAATTACTGGAATGTTGCAATCAATTTTTGAATATAAGTATTTTAAAAGTTACTGTTCTTCCATATTTTGAAATGAAAACTACTTTAAAAGTCAATAATGCTGTTTTATTACAGATGAACCCACAAGATCATTGAGTGGTCTCATTTTAAAGAATAACGTGAAAGCGCATTTTCAGAACTTCCCAAATGGTGTGACAGACTTTATTAAGAGTGAATGTTTAAACAATATTGGTGACTCCTCTCCTTTGATTAGAGCCACTGTAGGTAAGTTACATTGTTACATAGTTTTGCTTATCTGGTTTGTAACTGGATTGTTTTTTGAGATGGTAGACTATTCTCATAGGAACTTTTGTCATCCGTTTCATGTTGAATTTGAGGAGAGGGGGGTTTTTCATTGCCACTTTTAAATGCTTTGGAAATAATGGTCATTATTATAGTAAAAGCCCTTAATTAGTGAGATCAGAGTCACTGGTAGTTGCTTATTCAAAGTTCATCAAGTGGGACATAAACAAATGATACTAATTTAGGACTATGGCCTTTTTTTTGAGTTCCTTACTATCTGACTTCTGTGTATAATAAACATGGGATTCACAGACCTGTACCCCTGGGGATAAAAATATATGTTTATAAAAAATAAAATTAAAAAAAAACACATAAAATTATTTAGAATAAAAAAAAAAAACATGGGATATAATTTCGTTGCACCTTCTTTACTTGGAAAGAAAATTTCGTAAAACAACTTAAGAATAGGACATTAGGGGGCACCTGGGTGGCTCAGTGGGTTAAAGCCTCTGCCTTCAGCTCAGGTCATGATTCCAGGTTCCAGGTCCTGATTCCAGCCACATCGGGCTCTTTGCTCAGCGGGGAGCTGCTTCCTCCTCTCTCTCTGCCTGCCTTGCCTCTCTGCCTACTTGTAATCTCTGTCAAATAAATAAAATCTTTAAAAAAAAAAAAAAAAGAATAGGACATTAGGTTTTGCTATTTTCTATCCTTGTTTTTAATAATTGCCTTGTCTGTATCTAATTACAGCAATTTTTGAGTCTTCAGAGTTTTCAACTTAAGTCAAAGAACTATCAGTTTATGTAATACTGAATTAAAATGTTTATAGCTGGTATAAATAGGTTTGGGAGTAAACACAATTGACTGTTGGTGATAGTTGGTGATAGCATTCATGGACGCAGAAATAGGCAGGAGGTCTTAAAAAGTGGCCTACTAAAGGGCAGCATTCAGTATGCCATGGGACTTAAAGCAGCTACATTTCACAAAGAGTTGGAAAGCTTCCGTTAATCTAGCAGGTTGGTTGAATGGAAGTCAGTTAAGAACCTCCATAATGATTAAATCATTTTCATTGAATGTTCTTTACTTTTGTATTTTTTGTCTCGTGGTGGGTTTGAAAAGTACCCAATACATCTTTTACTTAAAAAACAAAGGCTCTGTGACTTCTCCCAAAATATGCAAGTCTTAAATACTGCCATTATTAACACTGATTTTAAATGGGATGGATGAAGGGCATTTGTGATTTGAGAAAAGGGAATTCCTGGTTTATTCTGATGGACTCTCTTATACCTTCCTAATGTTTTGCCCTCCTCTTGACAGTGGTAAAAAAGAATGGTGAGTATATGCCAAACTTCTCAAATCTTTTTAATCTTAACTACATATTAGGAATCTTGCCGAGGAAGTTTATTTGAGAAGACTACATTTTGTTGACTGTGCGGTAATCCATTAGACAAATGTAAAATTGTTTCTCCTGTTAAAGAGTATGTGGTTGGTTTGTAATTTTATTATTTTGGTGACTATCCTTTATGTGTGTTTACATAGTATGGGAAAAAGATTTTTCGGGGAGTAGATGAAACTATATGGGTCAGTTAAATTTGAATTTGTTGGTCTATCAACATTCTCTAATGTTCTTCTAGCAGAAGTAATGCATGTCAGCAGTCTGTTAGTGCCAAGTTGTAGCTTGGCATTTAATTTTTGTTACTGCTTTTTTTTTTTTAAGACATATTTAGTTTTCTTTAGGCAGATCCAGAGCTTGCTTTTACCCTTAATTCTTAAAAATTTTAACTTTAGGAAAGAAAAATGGGGAAGAAGGAGCAGCTCTGCCCTTGGCCTTGATGCTTTTTGATCTTACTAGAAGACTGTTTTAAGGGTTATGTCTTAAAAATGCTACCAGTCCATTGACTCTTACCATATAATTGATGGGGGTTTGGGGGGGGGGTTTGTTTTTAGTGCAGAGTACATATTGGCTAACAACGTTAGGCTTTTTATTGCTTTGCCACTGGGAGCAATCTTCTTAAAACTAACTGTGGAAAATTCAAAGACAATTTATACACAGAAACAAGAAGAATTCACTGTTTAGTAATTGATTATTTACTGTATGCCAGGCAGGCATTTTGTTTGCGTGTCTCACTGTGAGTTCTCAAAATAGCAAGAGAACACTTTTTCTTTTTCTCACTTTTACAAATTAGTATTTTGAAGTTTAGAGTGCATATAATTTGCCTACTGTCAGAATTTATACAAATCTTAATTATGGTACTAAAAGGTCTATAATCATCAAATGAAGTATATTATCTTACTCATGTTAAATTTGCCAAGGCAGAGAAAAACAAGGATGATGCCAGTGATTCATCCTTGATCCTCTAAGTGGGAACGGATGGAGGACTGTGTGGGTCTTTCCACACCAAAAGGGTTGTTGCACACAGGATTGTTAGCCATTGATGGTTCATCTACTTTCATTTTCCCTACCTTGGTCCTTGGCTGTGATCCGTCCTAGCTTAGAGAGCTCATTTTCGCTTTATGCATTTTTGTTAAAAACTACTAGATTTGGATATTCACCACCCAGTGATAAGCTCTGCTAATGTTTTGGTATATTTTCTTTCTACTATTTTGTGTACAATTTCTATAAAAGGAGGAACACGTTTGACCCTTGGAACAGTACAGGTTTGAACTGCGTGGGTCCACTTACATGTGGAATTGGTTTTTCTGTAGATACAATAAATGTATTTGTATTGTGATTTTTTAATAACATTTTCTCTAGCTTTATTGTAAAAACCATGTAAAATATATGTATACAAAATTTGTTAACCAGCTATGTTATCATTGAGTCTTTCAGTTAGCGCTAGGCTGTTAAGTTTTGAGGAGTCCGCAATTCCATGTTGATTTTCGACTGGGGGTGTAGCACCCCTAACCCGGCCACATTGTTCAGGGATCACCTATAATGAGTGGAATTGTTCTTATTATTGTTGGAAAAGAGCGAGGCGTATAGTTTTTTTTTACAGATAATTGTTAAAAGTACAAAAGAAGGTAAATGAAGTGTTGGAAAACAAGATTAGAAACCTCTGATTTATGCTGTGGTTTTTCTACAGATGTGTTGGGGTGAAAAGAGGTCCTGGGCTGATGTGGGCCATTTAAATGAGCGTGTGTGCATGTGTGCATTCGTGTGGCAGTATCTGACATAATGCAGTCAGTCAGATTCCCTAATGGTATGTGTTTCCTTTCAAGGTATTTTGATTACAACCATAGCCTCCAAGGGAGAATTGCAGAATTGGCCTGACCTCCTACCGAAACTCTGTAGCCTGTTGGATTCTGAAGATTACAACACTTGTGAGGTAAAGAAATATGCTTCTCACATTTTCTTCTCTATTTTTCTTGTCATATTGTGTATTTTCAACCTTTGGAAAAAATACTTGCTTTGAAACATACAACTTCAAAAACTTGAAAGCTTCAAGTTACCCTCTTATTTTACATTAGTGACCATTTATCTTATTGTTTTCTATAACGACTGTTGAGTTATGAAGCCTCTTTACTGTAATTGCTACAAGGACGTATAATCAGTCAATCCATTAATGTGCTGTTTTTCGAAGATAGGCTTAAATTTACCAACCTTGAGCACTTTCAGCCTTCTCTAAATTGTTTCTGTGCCTCTTATTTTATGACATGGCTGAAGTATATGTAATCTAGCTTTAATCGTGTAATGATTATAATCTCCTATTTGCCAGTGATAAATAGCAACCTTTCCGTATGGGAAAGGAAGTCTATGGATTTCTCACTATTCATGAGTACTTTTAAATATCTCTTTCATTACCAGGCCTCTAGTTTGTGTAGAAATCTGTTTTGAATGGAAACCAGTTTAGGTATTTTGCTTTTTCTAAATAAATAACCTAAAAAAAAATTTCAAGTGGTCTTTTGATTTGGCAGTTTGTTGCCAGATCTGAAAGAAGGAAAGGAGGGACTGGAAAGAGAGGGAGTAAGCAAAGGGGTCTCTAAAGTTCCACTTCTCCCCGCCCTCCCCCCAGAAAAAAAAATTACTTTCTCATATATACATTTTCCATTAACACCTAAGAAATACACTAAGATTACAGAGAAACTAAAATAATAATAGTGTTCAACCATCGAGTAAGAGTTGATTAAAATTTAAATTGTGCTTTGGTATAGTGATAGTAACATGAAAGGAGATGAGAATTTTTAAAAACAGTCACTAACCAAGAATAAAAACTTAAAACTGCAGTAATCATGAAATTATGGAGCTTCTACATAAGTCACATTTTGAAAAAGAAAGTATTCTTCAGTTAACTGTACCATGAAAAGAAGCACCAGGTTTCTCCTCCTGGTGGAATTATAAGCAGTAAATTAGATGTTTGAGGTAATTAGTAGGTTGCGTATTGTGTATAGGAGCTCTAGGTTGGCTTCTTTAGTGTAAATTTTCTGCCCTTTTAACTGATATTGTCACCATGATCCAGTGAATAGTTTACATATTAAGTAATTTTTAAATGATGTTAAGACTTTCTGACTTCTAAAATTCACCAGAATATTTCGGGAGAAGTTAGCTTTTTTACTGTAGTTTCTGCCAACCAGAATATCCTCTAATTGTAAGTCATTCAGTGCTAAGATAAAACATACCATTACATTTGAACTGAAATTTTAGATAACTTAGTGGTATAGTGATTTCTGTCTTAAAATTGATGACTGAATTTATGGATTTTATGAGGCAGTATTTGATGGGGACTGAGAACATTAATTCATACAAATTCATCAGTATTCTTCAGTTTGCTTTTCACATGCCTTCATTTTTAGTTCTAATGATATAAATGTCTTTCACAGGGAGCATTTGGCGCCCTTCAGAAGATCTGTGAAGATTCTGCTGAGATTTTAGATAGTGATGTGTTGGACCGTCCTCTCAACATCATGATCCCCAAATTTTTACAGTTCTTCAAGCACAGTAGTCCAAAAATCAGGTACTTGTGTAGCCAGTATTAAATTAACTCACCCTCCAATATGACATCTGGATTATTTAGTAATTTTAGATTAAGAGTTTTACATCTAATTAAAAACATTTGGAGCGTGAAGGTGGAAGGATTTTTTAGAACACTGCAATCAGTAGGCCTGCTTGGGCAGAAGTTAACCTTGGGCTGCTCTATTGTCCTGTATATATCCCTAGTTTCTTAAACGGTGCCTAGCATATAGTTGTTGCAAGATTATATTTAAATATTAAGGTAACCTTTGACTAACTTATCATCTGTTATCCTGTCAAGCTGTAATTATCAAGATGCTTTCACACAGTTTAAGTGTGTAAGACTCCTGTCTGTAACTACACCAGAAGTTCCCCCAAACTGCTGTACTTTTTTTTTCCCCCCTCATCTCCAATTAATGTGTTTTAATCTAACTTGTCTTTTGTTTATTGCTATTGTGGAAAAGTCATTGCTCTTCTGATTGGTAGTTGCTTTGTTTTTTGTTGTTTCTAATTTATGTAGAATGACCAAAAACCATATTGCTATTTAAAGTAGAAGTTATGAGGGTTCCTAGATGTGGTTGTTTAAGGATACCCATCCAGGGGCACCTGGGTGGCTCAGTGGGTTAAAGCCTCTGCCTTTGGCTCAGGTCATGATCCCAGGGTTCTGGGATCGAGCCCCGCGTCGGGCTCTCCTCTCAGCAGGGAGCCTGCTTCCTCCTCTCTCTCTGCCTGCCTCTCTGCCTACTTGTGACCTCTCTGTCAAATAAATAAAAAATATCTTTAAAAAAAAAAAAAAAAAGGATACCCATCCAACAGCATGAACTTTACTGCATATGCTGTGATTGTTCGTTTAGATGTCCTTTGGAGCTTACCCCCAAGATCCCAAGCTGTATTCAAAGGATTATAGTTTAAACAGTGTGACCAGAGGGTAATCAGGCATCTTTCTCTCGCATAAATTCTGTATTTAGTTCTTTTTCTTTTACCTCGATTTAATTTTAGTTATTTTTCATCTTAAATGGTACTTAATGCAGTGTTGTTCTTAGAGAGAAACATGCTCATTTATGGTAGTGCCATGCAAATAAGTAGTAACATTCCCCAAATAAGATGTTACTCTTCCTGAAATAGTTAACTAGATAGAGTTCATGTTCCCTAGGAAGTTGTCTATTAATCTTTAAAGTAAGGTGATGAAAGAAAGTGTGGTAATTTGCCTACTTTACTTCTAAGAAAGAAACGCACTTTTTTGTGACCAGGTCTTAGCAAGTAAAAGAGTAACAGAAAAATCCAAATAACATATTCCTGGCAATTGTTTACTATTGCTGGACACACAGGTTTTTTGTAATTTAATACATTTTTGTAGCTGGTCAGTTGTTTAAACTTTACTCAGTAGAAATCAGTACTACAGAAATGATCCTGTTCAGTGAATGTTCATTATTACCCATTTGAGAATCTGTTCTACATACCCGTAAACACTTTTTTCCATTTTAATGTATACTTGGGTAAATGTATCTGCTGTATGTTTTAGCAATACACTGAACTCCATCTTTATAGGATTTTATTCTGTATTACTACTTATTATATTATTTATACAGCTTAACTGGTATTCGTATGTACTCTTAAAAATGTTTTTTCCATCTCAATAACTGTTGAACTTTGAGAATACAGAATGAGGCAAAGGAATGTAGTTTTATCCATCACATGACTAAGCAATTGAAAAATCAGAGGCATTTTATTTTTTAAACCCTACCAGGGGTACACAAAGATGGGGTATGATTTTTGCCTCATGATGTTCTCATCATGGCCCACTTCCATTTTGTCTTTAGTTACCTTTTAGGTATTTTTAATAATCACTGCCACCTAGAACAAAAGCTAAGATCTTGATGACAACAACCCACATCACATCCCAACTTTTTCCTTCCCTTGCATTGTTAAAAATATATATATATTTTAAAGATTTTATTTATTTATCAGAGAGAGCACAAGCAGGGGGAGCGGCAGGCAGAGGGAGAAGCAGGCTCCCCACTGAGCAAGGAGCCCGATGCTGGACTTGATCCCAGGGCCTTGGGATCCTGACCTGAGCTGAAGGCAAGATGCTTAACTGAGCCACCCAGGCATCCCTAAAAAATAAATGTATTGCATATATATGTAAAACGCATGTCTTTGTGTGTATGTCTTTGTTTTTAACTTTATAGAAAGTATTTAATGAATTTAATCTTTGCGGCTTTTTAAATTTAATATTCTATTACTAAGGTTTCATCCATATTTTGTCGTTGTAGCTCACTTGTTTTGACTACTGTATACTACTTGGCATGGTGATTAAACAATTTATTCATGCCATCCGCCCCCACTCCCCCTCCTTTGCAGCTTTTGGGTGGCTTCCACGTATTTACTGTTGTGGATAGTACTGCTGAAAACATTTATTTCTTGTCTCCATTTGTGTATTTGCAAGAGTTTCTCTAGGAAGACATAAAACCTTTGGGGAGGAATTTCTAGGCCAAAAGACAAATAACAAGAAAAGAACACCAAAATTTTTCCAGGGTGGTTGCATCAATTTATACTCTCTATTAACAAAGCGCAAGAGTCTCTGGGTGCACAGCATTTAGTATTGTGATGTATTTTAATTTTCACCAGTCAGATATAAAATTGTATTTCATTATGAATTTGGTGGTTTACCTCTCTGTCATTAATCATGTTGAACATCTTGTCATAGGTTTATTGTCTGTTTGTAGTACCTTTTTCTTTTGTCTTTTTCTCTTGGGTTATCAGAAAAGGCAGACAGAACAGACAATTTCATGATGAATACTGTGGAAAATAATAGAATAAGGGATTAGACAGTGATTCACAGGTATTGTATATGGAAGGTTTTCTATAAAGGTAATGTTTGTGCAGAGACCCTGAACAAAGTTAAAGTAGCAAGTCTTTGAAAGGTCAAGGAGAAGGATATATAAGACAGGTAATACCAAGTATAAAGGTCCTGGAGTTAGGGACAAGCCTTTTACAGTGACAAAAGAAGAAAACTTTGTAGCACAGTAGAAATGATATTAGGAGAGTAGGAGTAACCACAGCATAGTGGAAGGTCTAGGCCTCGGCCAGTAGTCAGCAAACTATGACCCATGGGGCCACATTCAGCCCATAACCTGAGCTCAGAATGATTTTATACTTTTAAAAGGTTGTGCTTGGGGGATGGGGGATGAAGCTGCCACGGAGGTCTTGTAATATTTACCATTCTTTTGTAGGAAAGTAGATTGTGTATTTTCAGAGTAATCTGATCAAGGGTGTAATGTGATGTTATTTATGTGTGTCTAAAAGGTGGTGGGGGCTTGTAGTAGCAGGCCATCCTGCTAGTATTTTTGTTGGAAAATTAAAAGAAGAAAGGGGGGAATGGTCTCATTTTTCCTCATCACTTAAATTGACAAGATTGTGTCCCACTTATATTTACCATTTGATCTTTTGTAGGAAAAGTTAGATGATGTGTTTTGGAGCAACCTGAACATGGGTGTAATGTGATGATGTTATTCATGTATGTGTAAAAGGTTGTAGTATAGTCTGTAAAGGATGTCAGGAAACCAGTTAGAGCCTGTTGGAGTAATCGGATAGTTTGGACTAAGGAAGTGATTGGTTTACGGGTGTTTTTAAAGGTAGTGCCATTAGGAATTGCTGTGGAGTTGAATTGGCTACATCTGAACACAAAAACTATAGACTTCATCATTTTTAGTTTTAAAAGGAATAAATAGCCATGATTTTAAAATCTGTAGGTATATAAAATAATTTTCCAGTATGCCTCCATCCACCGTCCCACCCTTCAGAGGTATCTACTATTAAAAATGTGGACATGCCGTTTCTCACACTTAACATTTTGAGAGAAGTATTAATGTAATCCTCTGGAATCTGTGTTTTTCACTTAATATATCATTCATTTTCTGTGTTAAATATTCAAAGAAATTTAACTCATTCTTTTCAGGGTGTGTATGTATATATACATATATATGTATGTACAAACACGTTTATGGCTATACATACTTCATAATTTATGGAGGAATAGTTAAGTTCTTGTCCGTCTTCTGTAAATAGAAAAAATCTATAGTGAGCATTGTTAAAAGTTTAAATTTTGTTTCTAGGTCTCATGCTGTTGCATGTGTCAATCAGTTTATCATCAGTAGGACTCAAGCTCTAATGTTGCATATTGATTCTTTTATTGAGGTAAGATTTGTCTCCCCCCCCCCTTTTGCTTTTGGGAAAGTTAGAAAATGTTAAATTTTTTCTGATAGTATTAAAATTGGATACAGTGTAGACATTGTGATTTTCGTTAACTGAAAATAAAAGAATTCTCTGTTTAATTTTTTTACTTACGGTACAAACATTGATTATGGTTTGTGGGTGCTTAATATCTTAACTAGAAATTTTTTATTTGAATGTACTATTCAAATTCCAGATGTAAATTGAGTGTCCCAGTTCATTTGCAGTATTTGAAACATGAAACATTGGTGAGTCTAATAATCTTAAACTTGTTCTTTATTAAGAATCTGAAGGCACAGACTAATAAAAGGTTGGTGCTTCATTTTCCATTGGTTTCCATTGTAGAATTGGAGGTGTTGGGAAAAATTTGACTCCTAAATCTCTGTAAGCATTTAAAGTCCCTTTTACTTTTTTGATAAAAGCAGAAGGTCAAGCATCATTTTCTGGCCATGAACTCAAAGCAATAGAATTGTTTTTCAGAATTACTACCACTTGATAACAGCAATTGTGAACAAGTTAAAGTTTTTCAAGCACTTCACTTTGATTTTCATTAAATGAAAGTTGTCTTTTTCCTCTCCAGCTTTTTTTTTTTTTTTTTTTTTAAGATGTATGTATTTATTTTTAGAGAGTGACCCTGGGTTGGGGAAAGGGAGAGAAAGAATCTCTAGCAGACTATCCACTGAGTGCAGAGCCCAGTGTGGGGCTTGATCTTATACCCATGAGATGATGACCTGAGCCAAAATCAGGTGTGGGACACTTAACTGAGCCACCCACGCATGCATGCGCCACCCACTCCCCTCCCACCCTGGTTATGCTTAAAAATTTTAGAGGCCATCCTGCTAGTATTTTTGTTGGACAATTAAAAGAAGGAAGAGGGGAATGGTGTCATCATTTTTCTTCATCACTTAAATTATCAAGCTTCTTTCTGAGCATTTCTGACCAGTAGACTATGAATAGTAGGATCATCTAGCCATTTAAATGTTGAGACTACAACATGAGTCTTCATTGGATATTTACTGAGTCATACTATAAATGAGGCACTGTGCTTGGTGCTAGGATTACATAAATAAATTTTCTGCCTTCAGTCTACCTTGAGGTAGAGGGCAGTGGATAATACTAAAAGTCTGGAGTAAGGCTGTCTGGGTTCAAGCAAAGCTCAGGTCCACAGCTGCTAACCTTGGGCACATTATTTAACTGATATTTTCAGTTTCAACATCTATAAAATGAAGGCAATAATAGATCTACCTTGTTGGATTGTTATAAAGACATTTGCTGTAACTAAATTGGAACAGTGCTTGCTACAGAATAAGCTGGTCTACATGTTAGCTATAGCTATTATTCTTAGAAGTAGTAGTTGTAATAATATTTCCTCTTAGTGTTTCACAGCTTAAAAAAGGAATAGGAATAAATAGCCCAACATCTTATGTAGAAATGTAATTCAGAATAAAAGAAATAAAATTCTCTCTGAAAACAAAAATTCCCCAGGACCATACTCAGCAAGTGGAGTAAGCATGTTTCTCACCATTTTAAAGTATTTCCCATTGGTGTTAAATACCATGTGAACACTTTCTTGCTCCTTGATAATCCTGTAAGACTCAGCCAGTTCTCCATCCAAGAGGAGTAAACCTCCATAGGAGGTGCCTGACACATAGTAGACCCTCGAAAGCTGTTGGCTAAATTAATAAGTGGATCATTTGTTTCTTTAATTATCATTGTTTTCATTGGGGGCGGATATTTGCTGAGTGTGACAGTAATGAATGAAAATGTATTGGTTATTAGCATGCCTAAGATGTATCTTGACAAAGCTAGATATTTTTATGCTTAAGACATCATCAGATTTAATGAAGACTATCAAACATGTAAAATACATCTGATTAAAAAAAGGAACTACAGAGTTATGAAAGCGTCAGATGCAGGGGCAGGACTTGTAGAGGTCGAAATTTTTAAAACTTCACAACAGTACTTCACATACTGTCACATTTGGTATTTGAATTTCTCCATTGTCTTACCCCTTGTAATAAGCTTTCAGGTTCCTCAATTTGGAGATGTTTCTGTGATTTTTTTTTTTTTTTTTTTTTGAGAGAAGATTGTGGGACACTTTGGATTTTATGTATCTTTTTAATGATCATTTTACTACTTTTAAATAACTGTAAGTGTGTGTGTGCACATGCACAGAGAAAGAAAAACTCAAGAATGAGATGGGGGAAGGCTTACTGTATCTTTTCACATGTCCACTTTGCAACCTCTACCAAAGACAACCTCTTCTTCTAGTGGAGGCTTGTAGATATAGTGAATGAGTGTGGACTTAAAATTCCATGAAAATCATATTCAGATTCTCCCCTGCCTAGCAAGTTAGGTAACTTCTAAATTTCCTTATCTGTAAAATCAAATAATAGTGTCTTATAGATTAAATGAAACAGTCTGTCGTTTATTCAGGCGCTTTTCTTCCCCCTTAACCTTGGTGACAAACTTGTTAAGAACAGAATAAGATTAATGGCTACTTTTACTGCTTATTCAGTAGTTGACTTGGTGAACAACAGCAGTTTGGGGTTAAGTTGTTGGAAACTCAGCATCCATTTCCCCATTATCGATGCTTTTAAAGAACTTGTACCTGTTACTACCTTAAGAATCGGATTGGTAGAAATAATCTCTTGACACACAGTACTTTTGAAGGAAAATAAATTGTATAATTTTTTTAAATAAATTGTATTTTAAAGATTATCTTCTTCTAGGTGAGCTAGATGAGTGTCCCATGTTCTAATGACACGATTATATTCTCAAAAACCTAAAAATTACCTTAAAACACAATTAGTCATAGTCTTTCCAAGAGAATGACTTTAGATTATTTACCAAGTCATACTTTTTGGCAGTTACCATCTTATGTTTAATTGTTTTATAACCTAGTATTACAGGGCAGTTAATACAGTGTTTATTTGTACCATATCTTCTTAGGGTTTCTCCAAATGTTACTAACTTATAGATGACTTGTTATTATGTATAAACCTTTCTAATACACAGGAATGCTTAACTAGGAAAAAATTTTTCTCATTCACTAGAACCTCTTTGCTTTGGCTGCTGATGAAGAACCAGAGGTACGGAAAAATGTATGCCGAGCACTTGTGATGTTGCTTGAAGTTCGAATGGATCGCCTGCTTCCTCACATGCATAACATAGTTGAGGTAATACAGGTGACTTAAAGGCGCTCTCCTCCTTTTTCTCCCAAGAAAGATCTTGAGAACAAAATGTAAAATGTTAAATTTGTTTATTTAACACATTTGTTGGCAGTGATCTATGAAAAACAGCTCATGATTGTCTTAAAATTATAAGTTCTCTTTATGGTGACTTTTGTGAGATTGAAAATGTTTATGGGGGGAAAGTTATTTAAAGGAATAGACAGCTTTTAACAAGAATAACTTATGTAAATTTTTTGTGTTCACTAGATACATGTTAGGCTAAATGATTACTAGAACTGTGGTAGGTTAAGTGGCACATTCTTGTGTCGTTGGAGTTGGAATTAGAAGTGTTTGCTTTCCACCCATTACTGGTAAAGCTGATCTGATCCACTTACGATTTATGGTAAAAGTGAAATTTCTGAGTAGAAAATACATAATTGTTACAGTTAGTTCCAACAGAACATTTAGATTTTAAAAGACTCCTTCAATCCCTCTGCAATTATAATAATTTTACTAGAAAATTCTGAGTATGTTGATGATAGGTTAGTAGGAGGTAATATGTAGTAACAAGATAAAATTATTATTAGAACAAAATAACTTGTTTGGGCAGTACTCAGTCCTGCCAGTGGCAAACTGTACCACCTACTTTTCATATTACTGGATACATTTGTATGTGAGTAGTATATATATAGCTTTCCAGTTGCATTAAATAGTACATTATTTAGATCCTCCCTTTCACCTCCAAAGAATTATATGGTCTGGAGAGGGAAGATCTTTGCTTAAAGGGTGGGAATCTCTGACCTGTTAGAAAAAAGCTAGCATCTATAGTGTGCAGCAGCTCTTTTTCTAAAGCATAAGAGCAGCATTAGACATTTTCTCTGATGAACCTGTTCTCTCTGAAGTGCCTAGAAGAATCGGGTCAAGTTTGTTGAAGGTTTAGTGAAAGTTGGAGCTAATGGGAAAATTAAAAGATATTTTATCATTTGCTGGGGCCATGTCACCTGTGGGGAGCCTAACTTAAAATGGTATAGTTATTTAGTAGTACTCAGCATGGTAATAGGACATGGTGTGGAATGTAATAGGGATTGGCCTGTCACAATTCTTGTGTTGCCACATTTTGTCATGTGAGATGTTTTAGTCTGGAAGAGAATATGTACAAAGGCTTCATCTAACACTTGACCCCATTTCCAGGCCCAGGTACTGTAGGAAATCATATACGTACCTTTGATTATATTTATTTATTTTTGCACATAAAGGTTTTTTAAAGAGGGGTAGACACTGCCTTTGGATAAATTTCAGGTTGATGTTCCTTAAGAATGAATTTCGTTAAGAATGTTATTTGAAGTTAAGAATAAGAAATAAGTTAAGAATGAATTTGGCTTGGCATGTTAGAGACTACAGATTATAGTTGCTCTAAGAAATATCCCTACTTCCTTCTAAATATAAAAATTTAAGTTTTGTAATTGTATAATACATGTATGTCACATATGTTACATATGTGAAAATACATGTAATAGGTTAAATAATTATGTTATGAAAAGATTCTTCATTTTTTTTTTAATTTTATTTTTTATAAACATATTTTTTTTTCCCCAGGGGTACAGGTCTGTGAATTGCCAGGTTTACACACTTCACAGCACTCACCATAGCACATACCCTCCCCAATGTCCATAACCCCACCCCCCCAACCCCCCTCCCCCCTGCAACCCTCAGTTTGTTTTGTGAGATTAAGAGTCACTTATGGTTTATCTCCCTCCCAATCCCATCTTCTTCATTTTTTTAATGAAAGGTATAATGGACTTTATTTTGGTATTTCCAAGAAGACTGATTATTAATACATGTTTAACATCTCAGTGGTTTCATAAAAGAAAATACACCTCTACAGAAGCAGATATGCCATACATAGTTTGAACACTTTTCATTAAGCAGCATTCCAAAGTTGTTCTTAAGTTTGGCTGGATTTTAGAGTTGACTCAGGAACTTCTTAAAAAAATCAAAGCCAAGGGGCGCCTGTGTGGCTCAGTGGGTTAATGCCTCTGCCTACAGCTCAGGTCATGATCTCAGGGTCCTGAGATCGAGCCCCACGTCGGGTTCTCTGCTCAGCGGGGGGGCCACTTCCCCCTCTCTCTCTCTCTGCCTCCTTGTGATTTGTCTGTCAAATAAATAAATAAAATCTTTAAAAAAAAAAAATCAAAGCCAAGGTTAAGAATCACTGTAAAGTTCAAGGCGATAGCAGAGGACCTTTAACTTGCTGAGCAAGCATTAGGTTTACTTTTATTTTATGATCTAAACCAATTAATATTAATGCTTCTTTGTTTTCAGTACATGCTACAGAGGACGCAAGATCAAGACGAAAATGTAGCTTTAGAAGCCTGTGAATTCTGGCTCACTTTGGCTGAGCAACCCATATGCAAAGATGTACTTGTAAGGCATCTTCCTAAGTAAGTGTTCCTTCTTTTGAATGCTACCTTTTTCTTAAATTTATAGTGATTCCTCATTTTTGCATTTTTATGTTGCATTCTGCCATCAGGGAAGGAAGTTCTAAAGAAGCCAGACTTAATTTTACTTGGCATAAGCATGCGTTATAACTAAAGAGATTTTTCAGGAAGCAGTTGTTTTTTGGGATTTTTTTTAAATTGCAGATGGTTTATTCTAAATCATAATCTTAATTGCCCAAACAAGTTATTTGGTTCTAATAATAATTTCATCTTTTTACTACATATTACTTCCTTTAAATAAGGTTAACCTATCATCAGTGTACTCAGTATTTCCTGGTAAGATAATTTTAATTGCATAGGGTTTGAAGGAGTCTTTTAAAATCTAAATGGTTAGCATGATTTTTACTTCAGGGACCTCACCCCATCAAATGGATACATTCTCTCTTCGAACTTTCTCTTCTTCATAACTTTATAATTTTTTCCATCTTAAAAAGGATAGACAGGGCTCACTGTCTTTACTTCTTTACCTCATGTTAACTGCAGAATTTTATAGTCTTCCATCTGTCCTCACTATTTCCCCCCAAATTACTGACAGAGATGATAAATGATTTCATTGTTGGTGAATGAAATAAATCGGACTGTGCTGCAAAATGCCTGTAGCTTATGAATAGGGTTTTATTTATTATAAATTGGATATAGTTCTGTTTCATTAGCTGTAATGTTAAATTACTATTAATCTGTATTTTAGAATTTAGAAGGACTTTTCAGCTTGAAAATTTGGCCATCTCACATTTTTATATCTGTCTAGGGGATTTTAAGTTCCACTGCTTTCCCCTGTTTGCTATCCTTTAGTTAATAAGGGTTAACAAATTTACTGATGGTAAGGTTGTACTCAGAATTGGTTTTGCACATATTTAATTGACATTAAAGTGTTTAACTCTTTGAAGTAAGGCCTCTGCAAAGGCCTAACACATGAACGTGGAGAGTGAGAGTTTCTTATATCTGGTGTGGGGAAAGAATTATTTTGGAGGCAGGCCAAACTGGTCTTGAATTCTGACTCTCCCATTACTTAAAATTAATGACCTTGTAGAAGTAATGTAACCTCTCCAAGCCTTAGTTGACTCATCTATAAAATGAAGATCATAATACCTTCTCATTAGATTATAAGGAAAGTGCTTATTAATAAGCCCACATGGTAGTCATGGGTATGAATTTCCTTTGGGGGTTCACATTTCCCAAGCCACCCAGAACAGTTAAAGGTAGAATTCAGAAGCAGAGAACAATGGACTTTTTTTTTTCTTTTAAGATTTTATTAATTTATTTTGAGAGAGAGAATGTGCCAGCTGTGGAGGGGGGAGGGGGCAGTGATGCAGAGGCATGGGAGAGAAAGAATCCCAAGCAGCCTCCCTGTTGAGTGCTGAGCCTGGAGGTCTGGGTGGGGCTTGATCTGCTGAACGTTCATGACCTTTGCATAAATCAAGAGTCGAATGTTCAACTGACTGAGCCACCCAGATGCCCCTAGAACTGTGGACTTTTTAAATGCTTCCTAAGTTTTCTCAAAACCTTTTATCCACAGTAGACTCTTAAACGTGTTAAGGGCCCAGTGAGAAAAGAAATCATCAAAACTTAAACCAGTCAAAGCTTAAACTTCTCATAGCTACAAAGGGAATTGAAGTCATTAGTATTTTGACCTTTCCTTGTGTGTTTTGGTAAATTTTTTTTCCTAACTACTCCAGGATAGCTGGGATTCCATGTTTACAGACATCTTGGTTCTGGCTTAATGATTATGTTAATGCTTCAGATTAGACATGATATCCTGATTTAAGCATTTTCTTACTGGAAATTTAAGTTCTTAATTTCTTAAGAAATTAAAATTTCTGGGGTGCCTGGGTGGCTTAGTGGGTTAAAGCCTCTTCCTTCAGCTCAGGTCATGATCCCAGAGTCCTGGGATCAAGCCCCGCATTGGGCTTTCTGCTCAGCAGGGAGGGAGCCTGCTTCCCTTCCTCTCTCTATGCCTGCCTCTCTGCCTACCTGTGATCTCTGTCTGTCAGATAAGTAAATAAAATCTTTAAAAAAAAAAAAAAGAAATTTCCTAATTTCTTCTTTGAAGGCTATAATATAATAACCTTATTGATAGAGCTCTTTTTCCATTTTTACATTATTTCTTTTGAATAAATTATTTTAGACTTACTATACATTTTAAACACTGTCATCTCTTTTATTAAAAGGAATACAAATAATGTAGGCTAATTGTAAAAGTGTCACACTCTTTAGAAATAAAGTAAATGATTAATTTTATCCCTTTTTAGCCTATCCAGTTTTCCAAAAATACCAGTTTCTTTTGCATATCCTTTCTAGATAGTAGTCTGTTTATACAAGTAATTACATGGGTAATCTCATTATTTTTAACTCCAATAGAACCATGCTAAATGTGTTTTACACATTTGTTTCATTTTTAACTGTACTGTAATTTATTTTTAATCAAGCCCTAAATGACATACATTTAGATTGTTTTCTAGTTTTGTTACTTCATCAAGAAACATTAAGTCTTAAAGAACTGGGAATGTTTGTTAGGATGTTCAGGATAAATTCTTAGGGGAGAAATTACTAAATTTTTTGTTACTAGTTTTATTTCTAACCACTCTTGATAAGCTACCTTATTCTTACTAAGATTTCATCCAGTAGATCCCATATGTGAATATGTTAAGGGGGGCCTGGGATATGTATTAGGAATACTCAATATTTGAAAAGGACAGACATCACAGAATATGCTTCAAGACCAGATTAGCAGTGGTAGTTGTCTCTTTGGTATTTCTAGTATGCGTAAGGTCATTAAGACTTCTTACTAATTCTTAGAAGATTTTTAGATCTTTGTTTCATGAATTTATTCCTTTACAGATTGATTCCTGTATTAGTGAATGGGATGAAGTACTCCGATATAGATATTATCCTACTTAAGGTAAGGAAACTTCTCAGATGAATAGGTAAGGTTGTTTTTTTATTGATTTTAGAGAATCTTTGAATTTGACTTATAGCATATTTATTTAAAATCAACCCTGTGTAAGTATGTTTCTTCTTATATATTATATGCTACAGAGTTTAAAGGTAGAAGCCAACAATGAATTTGGGTGCTAATGTACTCTAACTTCATTGGAACCAGATGGTGACACTGGTAGAGTTAGCATAAATTTCCTGTTGTTTCAAATTACTTGTAGTTTATTTTAAAATTTTCAAATACAGTCTGAATTTTATACAGATAGTCTGGATTATAACAGCTGATGGGAAACAATGTAATGCAGCTACAGGGCCTGAACCTAATATGCAGTGAGGTAGTTTTTTCTCCCCTCGACAAAGATTTCTTTCCTGTGCAGGGGAGTGGTTCTTAGGTACACTTTCAGAACCACGTACATGGCGTCATCTCTCAATAATGATAATTGAATATCATCACAATTTTTCTTTTAAAAGGGTGATGTTGAAGAAGATGAAACAATTCCTGATAGTGAACAGGATATAAGGCCACGTTTTCATCGATCAAGGACAGTGGCTCAGCAGCATGATGAAGATGGAATTGAAGAGGAAGATGATGATGATGATGAAATTGATGATGATGATACAATTTCTGACTGGAATCTAAGTAAGTCAAAAAGAAAAAATGGAGTTGCCTGCTTTGGTAGCAACTATATTGAGAACTAAGTCATATATTGTACAATGCCCTCATGAACGACTACAATTCAGTGGTTTTTCATATATTCACAGAGTTATGCAACCATCACCACAGTAAATTTTAGAACATTCTCATCACCCCAAGTAGAAACCCTGTTTTGTTTTGTTTTGTTTTAATATCCCATTTAATCTTTACAACAGCCTTAGGTTGGTAAGGGAACTGCAAAAAGAGAAACTTACCAAGGTTGGTTATTTAACATGGCTAGTACTAATAACACACTTAATTTTGGAACCCAAGTTTCCCATAGCAAGAGAGCCCAACGTCTTCACCTCTGTCAGATTGTAGTAGCCCCTGTTATCTGCAGCGGGGTATGTTCTAAGATGCCCCCTGAACCCAACCAAGTGGTGCCTGAAATCACAAATAGTACCAAACCCTGTATATATTGTTTTTTCTAACGCGTAACATACCTACAATAGCGTTTACTTTATAAATTAGGTACCATAAGAGATTAGCAATATTAATTAATGATAAAATAGAGCAATTATAACAATATACCATAGTAAACACTATGTGATGTATTCTTTCACAATTTCTTATTGTGCTGCATTCACCTGTGTGATGATATATGATGATAAAATGTTCACATGATGAGATGGGAGGGGGTGTTAACTGAATTAGACATTATGGTATAGCAGTTAGGCTACTGTTAACCTTCTGATGATACATCAGAAGGAGAAGCATCTGCTTCCAGACTGCACCTAACTGAAGGTAACCAAAACCATGGAAAGCAAAACAGCACAGTGGGGGGCTAGTATACCACCTCCTTGTATATCCCTGCTTTTAGGCTGGAGGCAGGATACAGGTAACTTTACAAAAGCACTAATGTAAATTGAATTGGGGGAGGGAACTACTCCCTCTTAACATCCCACCCATTTTCATACCCTTCCAGAAGTTTTTCTGTGCACATGCAGAAAAAAATGTATGTAAAAAACATTTTTTTTGGAGACAAGGCTGACTTTCCAGCAGTGAAATGAGATTACATGTACTCTGTTGGTTCTTTTCCATTTATCATATAACTAACTCATTCTGTATCAGTACATTAAGATTTCTTTGTCTTTCATGGTAGTATAGTACTCATTTGTATGGTTCCACCATACAATATAACCAAGACCCTTATTGATGCGAGTAAGGTGTTACTTCTAGCCAATTTAACAACCTTTTTTCAAAAAGGATTTTAATATTGTTTAATGATTTGTGGCCCACTATTTAGTATGCCTAATCCCATTTGGAAAAATTTTTATGCTTAATTATATTTTTGTTTTCTTAATTATTACATTAAATGAAATCTTAATTGATCCATAGTTCCATGGCTAATAGTTCCTTTATCTGGAAGGAATGTTTTCTGGCGTGTTTTATGCTTCAGGTGCTAGTGACTTGGTAAGATTTCTTTGCCTGATCTCTTGCTGAGTCATTACGTATTTGATTTGAAATTATCTACCACTAAAAATATTAAGTAGAAATAATAAACACATTTTACTGCAGGTTTGTAGAAGTGGGTATCATATCCTAGAAGCACTAAATTGAGTGGAACAGTATGTATTTTGATTTTTCTCTGTAGACAAAAGAATCCTAGTGTGGCAGTCATACGCAAAAGAGAATACCTTCATGATTAGGTTTCTAATTCTTAGCGAAAAAATATTTTTTGTTGACAGATTGCTTCCTAATTAATTGAATTCTTTGAAACTGTAGGTGAATAAAGTGTTGTACATAGAACAAATACGATAATAGGGTTAATGATAATAGAGTTTAATGTAATGTTTTTGAATTAAATATTTGTTTAGGAAAATGTTCTGCTGCTGCCCTAGATGTTCTTGCAAATGTGTATCGTGATGAGCTTTTGCCACACATTTTGCCCCTTTTGAAAGAATTGCTTTTTCATCATGAATGGGTTGTTAAAGAATCTGGCATCTTGGTTTTAGGAGCAATTGCTGAAGGTAAGTCTAAGTCAAAACTGAACTGTGAAGTCTTTAATAGGCTCTAATGCAGATGGACCACTTTAAGGAATGTTATTTCTAATAAGCAAAGATGATTCAGTCTGGAATTCACATACTTTTTTGCTCTCTTGTGTTGCTGATGTGGAACAGACAACACTGTGATCTACATTAACCTTAAAAAAGATGTTTAAATCCAAAAGTCCTGTTACCAAGATCAGAGAGGGAGGCAAACCATAAGTCCTATGACTCTTAATCATAGGAAACAAACTGAGGGTTGCTGGAGGGGAGACTGTGGGGGCGTGGGGGGGGAGATGGAGTAGCTGGATGATAGACATCTAAGGAGGGCATGTGGTGTAATGAGCACCAGGTATTATGTAAGACTGATGAGTCACTGACCTCACCCTCTGAAACTAATAATACATTATATGTTCGTTAATTGAGCTTAAATTTTAAAAAAACAAAAGGAATGAACTGGAAAAAAAGAAAATACCTATATAGCAGCATTAGTAAATGATACTAATGGATAACTAACAAAAATGGAAGAAAATACCTAAATAGCAGCATTAGTAAATGATGCTAATAGATAACTAACAAAAATGTAAAGACAAATAGGCCTTAAACACATGAAAAGATGCTCAGCCTCACTCAGAGTAAAAGAATGCAATTTAAAAAAAAAAACCTGTCAGGACAAGTTTTTACCTTGAACCAGTTAATTATTATTTAGCCATAGGCTTACTTTTAACCCCATCATGATATTTTACAAATGCTTCTGTTACAATAAAGGAAACAGAATGAGAAGGCTGATGTTAGAAGCATCCCCACTGCTAGAAAAACAATTTTCTCCATTGGTAAGTGTTAAAAACATGGTAGGAGAGTCGCATCAACCCCCATAAAGGGTTACTGTGTCTTGGAGATAGGCATATATATACAAGAAATTGAATTATTTTGTAGGCACTTCTGAAAGCTGTAATTTGTGTAGCAGAAGTAAAACAAGCTTTCCTAACTACTAGAAGATACTTAGGATCAATTAACTTTCCTTTCTTTTTTCTTTTATTTTCTTTTTTTTTTTTTAATTTTGGAACAGATTATTAGAGAATATTTATTGGCGATAGAGATCTCAGTATTTTCTATTTTTTTGATCTGAATATTTTTCATGGCTGCATTTATCAGTTTAGTATTCAACTGAAATAATTTTGATTTAACTGAATTTTAGCACTTTCTGAGAGATTTGTTACTTTTTTTTCAGGTTGTATGCAAGGCATGATTCCATACCTGCCTGAGCTCATTCCCCACCTTATTCAGTGCCTCTCTGATAAAAAGGCTCTTGTGCGTTCCATAACGTGCTGGACTCTTAGCCGCTATGCACACTGGGTAGTCAGCCAGCCCCCTGATACGTACCTGAAGCCATTAATGACAGAATTGCTAAAGCGAATCCTCGACAGCAACAAGAGAGTACAAGAAGCTGCCTGCAGGTGGGACAAATCCATAACATTGTTGATTGTGGGAAAAGGGAGTGGGTATTTTAGTGAGAAACTAATTTTCAGCTTTGTGGTGGAATGTTGGTTTTAAACTGTTAATGGAGCTTTTATTACCTGTAGATTCTGTAAGTCAAAATGTGAGTCAACTAGGTGTCAGCTGTTCCTTCAACTCATTTCCTTTCTCTGTGCCTAGGATAACAGTAGAATTCTCTTTCATCTTAATTCTTGCAGACATCTAGAGTGGTGATAGTGAGGGTCTTGCTCTTGAAGGAATAACAAAGTTTGACCAGACTCATATCATTAGTTTAAAGATCAGCTAGAAAAGTCCCACAATGACTTAGCTTTCACTTAGTGAATCCACTCCAGTGGCTGTATGTCGTTTGGGTTTGGGGCTGTCTGTTTTTCTATCAGATCAGCAGTTATTTTCATTACTATAAATATTCCAGTTTTCTGGAACAAACCTTTTGTGTTCTGAAAAGTCCTGACATATTTACAGCTCTTAACTTTTTAATTAAAATTGCTTTACTGTTGACTTTGTTAATAAGAAGAAAAAAGGGAAATGAATTTAAGTGGAGTTGTACTCTTTACCAGATGAGAAGCAAAAACACCTGAAAGCATCTAATCCTTAATAAGAGGAAAGAACATTGAACCAAAAGGGCTTTGGCACTACTTTTTTAATGAGGGGAGGATACATATTATATTTGGTTTCCTTAAGGTGTTTTGTGGGTTTTTTTTTTTTAACTCTACTAGTCATTAGGCATGTATTAAATGCTATGTTTACAGTCCCTGCCATCTTAAATTTAGAGGCTAATAATAGAATACTAAACAACTGTATAATTATAATTCATGGCAAGTGCTATAAAGGAAATACATAAACAATTTAAGACCGGGCTTTCACTAACAAATGGCTTAAGCCTTTTGTTTTGGGAAATTGCTGAGTGGGTAGAATAGAAAATAATACAAACCTTAATTTTAGAAATGAAGAGCCAGGTACACCTTAGAGTCCAGACAAAATTTGGGCCTAAATTGAAGTAACTACTCAGTCTCTGGAGTGTTTGTTTTTTGTGTCTTAATTTGTCTTAATAGGTAAGCCATACATAAGGCAAGTTTGTAATAACACACTTTGCATCCTAATGCATGGTATAGAATTTAGACCAACATTTTTAAGCTTTATTGAGGAAAAGTTGACAAAAATAATCCATGTATTTAAAGTGTACAGCGTGGGGGCACCTGGGTGGCTCAGTGGGTTAAAGCCTCTGCCTTTGGATGAGGTTATGATCTCAGGGAACGGGGATCAAGCCCCACTTCAGGCTCTCTACTCAGCAGGGAGCCTGTTTCCTCTCTCTGCCTGCTTCTCTGCCTACCTGTGATCTCTGTCAGATAAATAAATAAAATTTTTTTAAAAAAAATTAAAAAGTATACAGCATGATGACTTGGTAAACATACATTATGGAACAGTTAGCAAGATAAAGATAATTAAGACTTCCATCACCTGACATAATTGACATAAGTAACTCTTTTGTGTGGTAAGAATGGTTAACTCTCAAGTATACAACACTGCATTTTTTTTTTTTAATTTCTTTTCATCGTAACAGAATTCATTGTTTTTGCACCACACTCAGTGCTCCATGCAATGCTTGCCCTCCATAATACCCACCACCTGGTTCCCCCAACCTCCCACCCCCCGGCCCTTCAAAACCCTCAGGTTGTTTTTCAGAGTCCATAGTCTCTCATGATTCATATCCTCCTCCATTTTCCCTCAACTCCTCCTCCTCTCCATCTCCCCATGTCCTCCGTGTTATTTGTTATGCTCCGCAAATAAGACGACACTGCGTTATTAATTACAGTCACCACGCTGTACTTTAGATCTTCAGAATTTATTATTAAAACTGAAAATTTGTGCTCTTTGACCACCTGCATCATCCCATTTCCCCTCCTGCTAAGGGAAACATTTAGGAGGTCACAACACTGCTCAATTTGTTGAATGATAGAATATTAAGAACCAACAATAATTTTAGTTGTTAGTATTGTAGTGAAGCAAATGCCTGTAGGTGACAGCCTCTTTGAAAGAAGTGATAGGAAATGGGGAATGAATAATAAAAATAAGCCTCTAATATGGTTAGGTAAGGAGATAGGCATATAAAGTATAAATAGATGTTCTATATACTGCAGACTTGGTTTCCTATCTCTATGATAAACTGCGGCAGTAATAATCTCCCTCTCTTTCTGTTTTGTTTTTTTAAACTCTAGTGCCTTTGCTACCTTAGAAGAGGAAGCTTGTACGGAACTTGTTCCTTACCTTGCTTATATACTTGATACCTTGGTCTTCGCTTTTAGTAAATACCAGCATAAGAACCTGCTCATTCTTTATGATGCCATAGGAACTTTAGCAGATTCAGTAGGACATCATTTAAACAAACCAGTGAGTATCTGTGATTAACTATTAAGAAAAAAATACATACCATATTTAAGATCAAAAGGTTAACATATATTTGGAAATGCAATTAGGGAGATATGAACACTTAGTGTTGGTTACTTTAAGAAGGTAGATCTTAAGTCAGCAAACATACTTTCTAGATAGTATTAAAAGTAAATATGTTCTTGGTGCGGAAATCATATCAGCATATCACATGAACGTACCAACACTTTTTAGAAAAGGGATGATAAAGGTCTTGTGGGTTTCAGCTTTTACTTAATTCCAGGTATTTTTATCTACCACTTCATAAATATTAAAGCTTTAGAGTACCACATTTAGACATCTTTGTTTTCTCACTGGAACTTAGAGGTGTGGGGGGAATGAACATACACTAAGATAAGACAATTAGAAATTGGGATGATAAGTTGGAAGTACTGAATAGTGGTATAGAAGAAGTATGTGTGTATGGCTAAGGAGCCAAACTCTGTTTTTAGTAGGGTTAAGAAGAGTATGATGGAATTGGATTTGTTTGAATAGGATTTAAATAATAGAATTTCAGGCTCAAAATTCCCAGTGGAGGAATAGATGACATGTTTATGATAGCTATATGAAGTCTTTAAAAAATTGTGTTTAGAAGTTAAATTTAAAGCTTAGTGCAAGACACTTGGTTTGTGGGTTTGCTTTGATGTTGGTTAGTTTTGTTTTGTGTGCAGGGGGTTGGAGAGAGTTCTTCTGAATGTGTTAGACCCTTTGGAATCTGTGCCCCTTGTTTACATGATTACCATTGTTTATTTAGTATTTATTTATTTATGGATTCTAAAGTTTAAAGATGCTTAAATGATTATGAATCTTCTTATACAAATGCCTCTGTAAGTTTACCTGTCATTTATAACATAGTGTACAGCAAGGACCATATTATATGTTAAAAGCTCCAGGACTGAAAAAATTCAGAGTAAAACTTAAACAGATTATCCCTATTTTAATCAAATAATTTTGGGGAAGTGGTATACTTGTATACATTTTATTTCAGAAAGGATATACGATGACTTAAAAATAGAACAAGGTTATAAAAAAGCAGAAAATAAAAATTTTAGAGCACTAATTAGGAGAGCAGACTGAGTCTTTAAAATGCATTCTGTAATGATTTTACACGATTACTCTAAATGGATTTTAATTTTCATAGACCCAAAAAGGACTTGTATGATATATGATAGTGGAGCTTTTATGTGTTTTTCACAAATAGGAATATATTCAGATGCTAATGCCTCCACTGATCCAGAAATGGAACATGTTAAAGGATGAAGATAAAGATCTTTTCCCTTTACTTGAGGTATGCTGAGCTGGTAACCTTTAGTTAATCTAATAGCGTGTTTCATCAAAATACATCTGTAGATAAAAAATGTGGGAATATGTGATGAGTAAAATGTTAATAGATGAACATTTTGAATCACTTCTATTAAAATGCTGAATAAGTAGGTAACTGCCCTTTCTTAATTATGGTACTTCCATACTAAGAAATACTGTTAAACAGAAAACCCACAATGGATGTTAAGTTGGTTGGTTTTTGTTTTTTCTTTAGGTCATCAAAGGATTATATTACATGCTTTCTCACCTGCTCTGCTTCAGTGTTAATCAGTTAACTTGGAGATGTTTCCATATCAGCTTATAGGTCCTCTATTAAATTGCATTTCTTTATATAGATACATAGCTATACCATGACAGTTGATATAGTTTAAATTATTTTGTGTGTTGTATACCTATTGTATATACACACATTTAGTCATATGTGAAGTAGCATTGAGTCTTGGTGCTGATGAGGGAAGAACTTTGCTTCATACCCTTTCTGTCCATTTTGAGGTTTGATAGTTGATATGTTATTCAAATAACTGAACATGCAATCAGATATGATAGTTTAAATGAATTGATGCTGGTAGAGCCATTTCAGTCATTGCCATTCTTGTTTCCCCTGTCATTTCAGGGGTCATCATTTCTGCCATGGTTTGTTTGTCCCTAGCCAGAGAAGTCAAAACCTCCATGACTAAGAGCAGTGGCTGATTCTGGGCCCAGCAAAACAAGAAAAATCATTATGCTTAAATAGATTTACTTTCTGGCAGGCGCTCAGGGTATCCTCATTAAAAGTCCACCCATATCATTAATCATGAAAGGATGAACAAATATCTTACATTTGATGAAAAAAATAAGCATATGTAATACCTAATCTGGTTCTCCAAGGATAATGTTCCTTACAGAAACTTTTTTGAGGAAACCTCCACAAACTGAACAGCAGTGAGTGGCATCCAAAGAGGAGAGGTCTGAAAAGATAACCTGCCATTGTAGAATAGTAGAGCAGGCTCACAAATGACCAGAAACTTACTGAGTACTCTTGTAAGCATTTATCATAATTTTAAGTATGTCCAGAAATTTACATTTTCCTTTATTCTTTCTAGTGCCTATCTTCAGTTGCCACAGCCCTGCAGTCTGGTTTCCTTCCATACTGTGAACCTGTGTACCAGCGTTGTGTAAACCTAGTACAGAAGACTCTTGCACAAGCCATGGTATTTTTAAAAAATAGTTACATCTACTCTCCCTCCCATCATAAGCATTTTTTCTAAGGATAGGCATAATGTATACAAATTTTTTTCATCTAATTGATTCAAACTAAATTTTTTAAAACTTTTGTCTAATTTCAGCTGAACAATGCTCAACCAGATCAGTATGAGGCTCCTGATAAAGATTTTATGATAGTGGCTCTTGATTTACTCAGTGGCCTGGCTGAAGGGCTTGGAGGCAACATTGAACAGCTAGTAGCCCGAAGTAACATTCTAACACTAATGTATCAATGCATGCAGGTGAGACTTGTTAAATTAAAATGTATTAAAACCTGATTCTCTGTGTCACATTGGGGTTAATTTCTTCTTATTCCTTGTAGGATAAAATGCCAGAAGTTCGACAGAGTTCCTTCGCCCTGTTAGGTGACCTGACAAAAGCTTGCTTTCAGCATGTTAAGCCTTGTATAGGTATGAACATTTCCTACTGCTATGATGTGCTTAATATTAGTTTTACATCAGTTATATTTCTCTATTATTAAACTGAAATGTCATGGAATCCCAGCTTTTATAAATACATATTATACTAGTTAAAGCTGCTCTGAGTGAAACAGGTAGGATGAGAATGTCCTTGCTCCCTTAAATTCATGATCACTTGAGCTGCTCATGAGGCACTCATTTATAGTATGACTGGAGAAAAGCTGGAAAAGTATTATTTTAGTGTGAAGGACATGCCACCTGTGTAACCTTGGTACCATATGCTGCTAGTTTACTGGTGACTTTTGAGTAACCTTCTTTTGCGGGGGTTAGAGGTACCCACAAGTAATAATAGCCTTCCTCATAAACCAGTGTACTTTTTCAGATATCATAGGAAACTTTCCAAAGCATTTACTTTAAGTAACAATTTCTTTTTGTTTTAACATTACAGCATCGTCTTAGCCTTTTGTGACAATAAGGGATTCCTTGAATAACGTAAACTGAACTGCTCTCAAAATCGTGGATTAAATGGCTTTTTGGTTTTCTTTAGAATCTATATCCCAGCGTTTTGTATGCTAATTTCTTAAATACACGATTTCGTGGACCATGGTTTAAAACATGGACCTGAAATGGTTTTTTCATTTGATAGAGTTGTACTTCGGGTTTTTCAGCTTTCTGCCCCCAGTTATATTGAGATATGATTAACATATAACACGTGTCAGTTTTGGCTATATGACCTAATTTGATATAGGCATATATTGCAAAATCACAGTAAGTTTAGTTAACATCCATCACCTCATGTACTGAAAAGATTTTTTTTTTATTTTTCTTGTCTTTTCTTACTATTTCTCATAGTAACTTCCAAATATACAATACAGTATTGTTAACTATAGTTATCATGTCATATAGTGCAACCCCAAGATTTATTTATTTATTTATTTATTTATTTTTTTTTTTTTAAAGATTTTATTTATTTATTTGACAGACAGAGATCACAAGTAGACAGAGAGGAAGGCAGAGAGAGAGAGGGAAGCAGGCTCCCTGCCGAGCAGAGCGCCCGATGTGGGGCTCGATCCCATGACCCTGAGATCATGACCTGAGCCGAAGGCAGCGGCTTAACCCACTGAGCCACCCAGGCGCCCCCCCAAGATTTATTTATAATTGGAATTTTGTACCCTTTGACCAACTTGACCCAGTTCCCAGTTGTGCTTTTGAATAACAAGTGTATTTCTGAACTTTGAGTAATAACATTAATTATGCTGTGCTAAATCCTCAGGTTTAAGCCTAACTACTCTAAATGAAAGTGTAATGAATTCTTACTTTATGGAAAGCTTGTTCTACCAATACTTAACACCTGCTTTAGTTTTTATGAATTTAAACTTGTATGAAGGATTTTCTTTCTTTTTCAGACTTTACAAACCATGTGTATCTTCAGGAGGTACACTGTGTCTAGTTACCTTTTTTTTTTTTTTTTTTAATGTTATTGGCCATGATGGTTATTTTCTAGATCAGGGTTTTTTCAACGAGGGGCAGTTTTAACACTACATTGGGTAGTGTCTGGAGACATTTTGTTTAACCCTGGAGGTGTGTTACTTGTACCTAGTAGGTAGAGGCAAAGAATGTTGCTAAAAATCAAACAAATGCATGATACAGTGCCCTTCATGTGCACCGCCCTCCCCCAATGGCAGAATGATCTGGACAAAATTATTGTATTGCTGAGGTTTAGAAAAAACTCTGGCTTAAGTCTACTAACTTAGGGTGCCTGCGTGGCTCATTCAGTAAAGTGTTTGCCTTCAGCTCAGGTCATGATCTCAGGGTCCTGGAATCAACCCCCACATAGGGCTGTCCGCTTAGCGGCCAGTCTGTTTCTCCCTCTCCCTCCGTGAGTTCTCTCAGTTTTGCTCTCTCTTAAATAAATAAATAAAAATCTTTAAAAAGCTTACTGGGGATTTAAAAAAAGGATGCTACTCTAATTCTTGATTTAATAGTGAGAATATATACATAGAGACATTTCTCATACCAGTGTATTATTACCATGAGGTACAAACCATATAGGGGAGGTAGGATAATTACTTGATTCTTTCTCTTTGTTTACCAGTTTTCAAAATAATGAATTGATTCCCAGCATCTTCCACAGGTATCTATATTGTGTTTCAGAGTTCAGTTTTTGTTTGTGTTTGGTTCTTTTTTGAGTGTCAGTATGAATTCATGATGCTCAAATTGTCCTACCACTGGCAGTGGGAGCTTAATCAAATTGGCTCCTTATTCCTTCCTGGTATGACAAAATAGTCCAGGCTTGTTTTGTACATTTCCTGCCTTTAGCCTGCAATGAGACATTTCTCTGAGAGCCCTCATTCCTTTTAAGTGGAAAATGATATTTAGAGATCACAATCTGAACACTAAGGTCAAAGTTCTTTAAAAGCCAAAATCATTGATTTTTTTTTTTTAATTTGTGTGTGTGAAAAACTAGCTTTGAAGAAAGTCATATCATGTTTTCCTCATTTTTAATTTGAATTTTCTCTGATGAGCGATTACTCTGACCGACTCATTTTAATGATACCTAAAATAGGCCAAAATTAATGTTTCCTGGTCTACTTCATAGAAAGTTCAGTGGCCAGATAGTGCCTTTTTTACTTTCCTAAAATTAAATACTATCAAAACCTTTTAAAAATTGGTATTTCTTGCCTAGATTTCAGTTTCCACCTAGTAGATTTCCTTTAAAGCACAATACACTGCTGTTGAAAAGTTTACTACATAGTTGTTAAAAAATTTTTTTTCTAGCTGATTTCATGCCTATATTGGGAACCAACCTAAATCCAGAGTTCATTTCAGTCTGCAATAATGCCACATGGGCAATTGGAGAAATCTCCATTCAAATGGGTAAGATCTTTCTCCCCTTTTAAAAGCACTGTAAATTTTTAGATACCTTAGTATTTTTGTAATTGCTTTTTCTTTTTAACCTAAATGAGTTTTATACATAAATATTTATTATTAACCTATGTCACAGTTAATAAAGGGAACAGAATATTTTACGTTGATATTTTAACATTAAAATTTTTCTCTTTTGTTTTCTTTTTTTGGGGGTGATTTAGGTATAGAGATGCAGCCTTATATTCCTATGGTGTTGCACCAGCTTGTAGAAATCATTAACAGACCCAACACACCAAAGACGTTGTTAGAGAATACAGGTACCATATGACTGAACTGTTATGGTGAAGAAAAAACTATTTGCCTTTTAAAGTTAAGATGCGTAGAGAAACCAAAGCAAAACTAGCTTTAGAAACCCAGCTTATTATTAACAGCTGTTTGAGATTTTAGTGACAGTATGTATTGTTTTAACTGTATTGCATAACCAATTTTCAGAGACTTTCAAAAATACTTCTCCCCTATTATGTGTTTAAATACTCCCTCAAATGGACCCCAGCTAAAATAACTATTGAACAATATGAATTTTAATTTATATTAATTCAGAGAGTAACTGGCAGCTGGGAAGTAATTTTTTTTTTTTTAATCTACAAAATTGTAGCCAAAAATAGACATCAGTGTAGAGACTAATTGGTTAACAATGGCATGTGTATTTTGTATTTCATTGTATTATTTTCCTTCAAATTGGGAACTTAAGGCAGTACTTTATGGGATTTTTATTCAGGAGGCTTGTTTCTCTTTTGCATTTATAGAGAGCATGTTGATACTAAAGAGTACCTTCCATACTATAGAACACATTTCAGGGTGATTTTTTTTTTTTTTCCACCCGCCCTGATTTTTGTTAATAATGATAAAAGATGTGAATTTTGTTTTCAATCAGGCACATCCTTTTCTTTATATAACTAAGATATAATTCCAGTAAATCTAGTCAGTGAGGGTTTTACCAAAATACTATGTGAAGATTAAAATGAGGTCTTCTAAATAAGAAAATTGGTTTTCAAAGGCATTTTAATTTTATATTTAATTATAGAAGGTGAATATTTTAATGTGATTAAAGTTGATATGTTTATTGGTATGGAAGGAAATCTTTGAATTAAGAAACAGTTATATAGCTGTTTGGCTGTATGGGTACTGTTTATATCGTGAAGTGAATTAGATTTTCTTGCTGAAAAGTACAAAAACCTATGTATTAGGATGGTTATGAAATCTCGTCAGGTTTTTATCTCTTTAGAATGCAGTACCGATACATGACATTCAGATTTGGAACACTTGCCATTATAAAATTACTGTTGAACCTAAAGAAACTTCCTATTTATTTTTAAATGTGAATGCATAACTGCAAATAAATGTTGAATGTAATGTATATTAAAGTTTCTTGTGGGATATCAGCTTGTGAATTTGTTAAGATAGTTCCTTTAACAAATTGGCTTTATTTATAAGTTTATATTCTAATTATTATCTTACTGTAAACCAAGAAGTTGATAATGCCCATCAAGTTGACAAATTAAATTGATATGATTGAAAAGCACTTGGGATTCACTGGATTAATCTTATCACAAGTGGCTGCAGAAAATGTTCCCATTATTCCTTATCCAAAAGGGGGAAGTGGGTGTTAATTAACAAAAATAAAACCATTGTCAATGGCTAATGTCTGTAGATTTTATCAACTTAATTACTGTCTTCTTAATATTTCATAAAGCCAATTCTAAGTATATGCAGTTATTTGCTCTTTTTCCAATTAGTATATCCTACACTGAACTTTTTCAATGGACCATCATCTGCTTTATCGCATGTTTCATTGGATTGTTCATACTTGCCTGTTTAATGAGAATGTTGCATAGTTTGTGTCTTTTGAACATAGGTTTTCTTTCTCTTGCTTCATATGAATCTGCTGGATTTTAGTATTATCTGTGTAGTTTGCTTCAAGTAATCCTTAAACATTTTTCTTTACCCTCCCCCACCCTTTTTTTATGAAAGGTTAACCTGTAAGTTTTTGAGAGAACACCATTAAAGCACCTTATGGTTTGTTTTCTGTTTGTATTTTTTTTTCCCGTTGTGTATAAATGTATTTATATGTATGTACCTTTGAATTGCAGAATGCAGTTCTGAGTTGCAACTTCTTTTAGCTCTTCGTAAGTTTAAGGACTTCCTGAATGAATTTTGATGGTGAATATGTTTGAGTAATTCCCACTTCGAAATTTTTAAGTAAAATTCTAGCATGTGATCAATATAATGTCTTACCTATTTTGTGCTATGCCTTTTATAGCAAAGACAGATTATGTGTTTGTTCCTTTTGTCCACATATCACGTCATTACAGTGGACTGTAAATTTTCTTAATGTCAAATAATGGTTTGAAATTAGTGGGCTATTATCTGAGTTGCTACCATAATCATCACCATCAAAGGTTAATTGGAATGGAATTTGACAACAGCACAGCAATTTTCCAATTCATTCATTTGGTGTATACTGTAACCCCTAAAATTGATGGTTGATTTTGATATCAGGCAACAAATGGTCCACTGGTTCATTTTAGAAATGCTAACAAACAGAACTACTTAAATTGCGATTAAATTTCTAGATGATTTTGAAAGATTGGAAATCACTTATTTAAAAAGACGTAGAGAAGTAAAGAAATTTCAACTGTTTTAACTTCTGAGAACTGTGTTTGAGTAAACAATTCAGAAATGTAATCATTCGCATTTACTAATAATTATTGGGGGAAAAAACATAGATTTCATTATTAAATTCTGAAATTTCAACTGGCTTTGAATGGAGAATCTCTAAATCCATGCATTTTAATCGCTCATCTTTTTATTAACAGAATTTCTTCTTACTTGATTGAGCGAGAAAAGCACTTCATGGTTTTTGGTGTTCTCTCAATCTTTAAAGTTTTTTTAATTCCTTTTGTTTTCCTTTTTCCAAGAGTATGCCATATATGTTGCTGCCCCTTATTTTAGGGGGTGGTAATAAACAGCACTGGTGAAATCTTATGTTTATTATCATACACAAATTCTGTTGGTTTCTGTTTCTGAGTTATTTGTTGTTTTTTCTTTATTTTTTCTCCTTCCCCCTCATTTGCTCATGTCTTGGTTGGCGTTTGGTGGTGTATAACCGTGATTGCGTTACCTTAGCAATAACAATTGGTCGTCTTGGTTACGTTTGTCCTCAAGAGGTGGCCCCCATGCTACAGCAGTTTATAAGACCCTGGTGTGTATTATTCAATCTTTTTTTTTTAATTCATTTTTCTTCACTCTTTCTTTCTCTTTCTATCTCACTTTTAGATATATTTTCAGTTGGTTACAAAAATCACAATCCTTAATCATTGCCAACCATGTGACTAATCTTGTCCTATCAGGTTTGTGAGGTTTTTCAGTAGCATCGTCATGTATATTTATTTTATGTTGTGGCTAACGACTAATTGATGCATGGGATAAGATTGTCACATGCTTGCTGTGTTAAAAAGCTTGATTATACATGAAAAGCATTTAAATATCCAATAAAATAAAGATGCATGCAAATTCTATAAATTTAGGTTTTTGCATTGTTTCTTTTTTAGAATTAATTTGAAAACTTGGATTGCATTAAGAAATACATGTTTAAATTACGTTATGTATAAAAACTTTATTTGCTTGTTAATGTTAAAGTTAAAACATCTACACCATAAGTTGTGTAATAATAGTTTATATTGTGGCAGTATATCCTATGTTCTGCTTCTTTCAATTGATAATCTTTCAATTCAAGTCATTTTTAGTAGTGTTTAATGGAATACAAGTTATAATACAGTTTTAAAAATTCATAACATACTCTTGGCTCAACCTCATTAAGTTTAAATGGGAGATTAAAATCAACTGTCCATTTTATAGATGCAATCTGTTAATAAGAAAATGTGAATTACAAGGCTTCCACTATATTGTGATTAGAAGATGAGCCAGACATAAGGGAGAATGAGAAACTTAAACTTCATGAAAATTCTTTGAATCTAGACATTATCCATACTATGTGCTTATTCCATTAAATACTGTCCATTAGTATTGTGATTGAACCTGCTTTTTACTTAAATGCTAATCTCAGTTCTATAATTTAATAGGTGCACCTCTCTGAGAAACATAAGGGACAATGAGGAAAAGGATTCAGCGTTTCGTGGGATTTGTACCATGATCAGTGTGAATCCCAGTGGAGTAATCCAAGTAAGATGTCACAAAGATTTTTTAACTTTTAATCTTCTGAATAATGAAACTTTACAGGGTGAATTATTTTAACACTTTAATTATGAAAGTATCACATATTACATATTTTTCAAAGATAATAAAAACAGGGGCGCCTGGGTGGCTCAGTTGGTTAAGCAAGTACCTTCAGCTCAGGTCATAATCCTGGAGTCCTGGGATCGAGTCCCGCATCGGGCTCCCTGCTTGGCAGGGAGTCTGCTTCTCCCACTGACCTCTCTCCTCTCATGCTCTCTCTCTCTCTCTCATTCTCTCTCTCTCAAATAAATAAATAAAATCTTTTAAAAAAAAAAAAGATAATAAAAACAAATTATGTGTTGTTGTTTAAAGATTTTATTAATTTATTTGACAGACAGAGATCACAAGTAGACAGAGGGGCAGGCAGGGAGAGAGGGGGAAGCAGGCTCCCTGCCAAGCAGAGAGCCTGATGCAGGGCTCGATCTGAGGACCCTGAGTATCATGACCTGAGCTGAAGGCAGAGGCTTAACCCACTGAGCCACCCAAGCACCCCAAAACAAATTATAGTGTTTTGTTTTTTTATACTTATTAATATTTTGAAATGATAATGCTTGTTTATGATTTCCTAAATCTTTGTTGTGGAATAAATAACACATTAGGGTACTGGAGTTATATTCTTGACTCTGATTAAGCTGGAGCATCTTCCACTTTGTACATGTCTTTTTTTTTTTTTTTACTTTTTAGAAACACAGGGAGAGAGGGAACACAAGCAGGGTGGGTGGGAGAGAGAGAAGTAGGCTCCCTGCTGGGCAAGGAGCCCAGTGTGGGGCTACAATCCCAGGACTCTGGGATCATGACCTGAGCCGAAGGCAGATGCCTAACCAACGGCAGATGCCTAACCAACTGAGCCACCCAGGCGCCCCTTGTACATGCCTTCTTTTGTTGAGTATCAGGGAGTAGAATTTTCAGGTGTCTGCACTTAAGAGAGTGACCGAAGGAATTAGAATTAAACTTAGAAATTCAGTAGTTAACAAAACAGAACACCGAATTAACAATTAAAACTGTTATAACTTGGAGAGGTTAGGATTTATTTCTCTTGTTTCCTTAGTTTAGATAGTATCTGGACATTTTTAGCATTTAAAAAATGATTTGGCGGAAGTATCAGATATGAATCTGATAACCTGGATCCAAGTGTCATTTTGCAAGACACACACACCGGAGGAACATGTTGATTGACACCATGTGTATGAAATCAACAAAATGCAGGCTGTGGAACTCTAGGTTAAGTATCCCAGGTTACTCAGCAGGTGAATGGTAAGGAAAAGAAATTATGGGACATGTTTTCAAGAAAATAACCTTTCATTTCCAGGAGACACATGCTTTGAACATCTTTCAGTCAATACTCTCTGATACCTCTTGGCTTGTGTTAATGACTGTGTTTGTTAATTTGTTTAGAAACATTATTAATTACCAGCTTAAAAATTCAAATTAATGTAGTGATAGGCATTGAAAACTTGTAAATTAGAAATGGAAAAAGTCTTTTGACTTATTTCACATTTGTAAAACAATAACTTGTATGAAAACAAGCCGGTGCCATCTTTGGAAATAGTCCCTAGTTGCAAAATAACCTCCTGCGATTTTTTTTCAATACTTAAGAACTTTATGTCATCTTAAATGTGTTTTAGAGTTATCTGATACAATGTATATTATATTAAGAAGAAACATTTTCCCATCAGGATTTTATTGGGTTTTTTTGTTTTCAAATTAACATTTAAGACGGTGAGAGTAACACGTATATATGTGGTCCATAAATCACTACCAACTTTAGAATTAGTACAAATCTCTGCTTTTTACATATTTTATTTGGATGTGGTTAGAAAAAAATATCTTAAGTGTTATTTTTTATGTTTAAATTTTCATCACAAATTTTAGATATGTAAATATTTTAATTTTTAACATGAGACTTTGATATTTGGAAGAAAATCCTAATTCGAATAAACCGTGAACCTCAGGCACCTGGAATTTTAATTGCTTAAATGTGTGTTTTATGCACATACTTCAGTCAGTAAATTTTGAAATTAAGAAAGTTCTCTGACTTTAGTAAAATTTTAAATAGTTGACATATCAGAACATAAGCAATAATCTTAAGTGCTCTATATTGAACTGCTGTTTCAGTATGATAGTCAAGATCAAAAAGTATTTAAATGAAACACTTAAAGCCTATACCTTTTGTCAGCTTGTTCTTACCATGAGAGTAATGCAGTTTTTCCTAGTAATTGAGCATTGGATTTTTTTGTTGTCTTTTGTTCACTCTGGGTTGGGTTGCGTTAGGTATTATAACTGTATAAGTAGTTTTTCTTCTAGCTTTTGGTCATTTTCTTTAAATTTCATTCTGAAATTTAGATCTATTAATTACTATAGTTCAAATCAAGCTTATTTGACATATACTTAACTTGCTTTAAATTCTTTCTAGGCCAGTCAGAACTGTGAGATTATTGAATTTATGTATTTCTTTAATTCAGTAATTTGATTAATGAATGAATTAATTAAGATTTTAAGATTGGTGCTCATTTGGTACTTTAATTCCATTGTTGGTGCTACATATTTACTAGACAGGGGTTCTGTGGTGTAAAAAGAAATTTAAAAAGCGTGCTAAATTCCAACATAAACTGAATGAGTAGAGATTCCTTGATGGTGGAATAATAGGGACAGCCATTATTTTATAATTTCTTATCATACGTGATTTTTAAAAAAAAATTTTTTTGAGGTAGGATTCTTTTGTGATAGGTACGTTTTGCTATGTTTGACAAATAGCAACCTAAGGTGTATTTCCTGCTTGTTACAGGATTTTATATTTTTTTGTGATGCTGTTGCATCGTGGATTAACCCAAAAGATGATCTGAGAGACATGTTCTGTAAGGTAAGGTAACTATAAAGCCTCCATGATAAACATCTTGGGACTATTAAAAGACTAGTTGGAAAGTTTTAAATTACGTTTACATTTCATATAGAACTAGACTCTTTGCTTCAAATCAATATTGGTAGATCATCTATATTGATCTTTTTTAAAGGTACAGCAGTGACTCTGTATCAGAAGAGCACACACTTCAAAAATATTTTCTCAAGCAATACTGCTGATTGATGTCCCATCATCCACCTACCCAAAGCAGCATATATTTTCAAAGACTGCTGACTGAGATTTGGAGTATAATGTAAACTGTTGAATAAAGTAAATCTGAAATGGTTTCCATGGGGATTAAGTCTATATAGTTCTTTGTTTTAGTAGTGTCCCTTTGGATTCATTCCAGTCAGTACTCAACCATAACAGAATAAGAATAAAATGTTGTTACCCGTTTGAATCCTCTTATACTAAAATTAGTCAGCTTTGATTGCAGACATGAACTTAAAGCTTTATATATTTCCAATTTGAAAAAAATGTGACATAAAAATTTTATCTGTTGGATGAATTCTGTACTTTGTTGTCCATTAGTAGTAAGTCAGAGTTTTCTTAGCATCCATCTGTTACTAGGACACTTGCTTGAATTCTAAACTTTTCAAACAAGGTTTAGAATATATTATGTGGTGCTTTTAGGTAAGACATGTAGTGGTATAACATCCAACAGAGTTTGAGAACCATTGATTTAAAATTGCTAAAATTTTAGAAAAATAAAGTCAGTAGTGTTTTACTTCGGAAGCTATGCAGATTGGAATTTTTCTCCTGTTAGTGATGAATTAATGGTGTTTTTTCACTTTTTGCAGATCCTTCACGGATTTAAAAATCAAGTTGGGGATGAAAATTGGAGGCGTTTCTCTGACCAGTTTCCGCTTCCCTTAAAAGAGCGTCTTGCAGCTTTTTACGGTGTTTAATCTCATACACTTAAGCTGCAGTCCCATAATTAGGGGTAAGTTTTAAGAAGTTTGTGGAAGTTTTTCAGGATAAAGAAACTTAGGTCTGCAATCTAAAATTACTGAGTAGAATAAAAGCTGTATGTTTTCTGCAGAGGTTGAGTAAAACTCAGGCTATATTAGCCTTGAAATTTAAAATTAAAGCTAGAGAATTTTCTTTAGAAACTAGCAAGCAAGGTAAAATGCATTGTTTTACTTCGAATCCTGAGTAAAAAGAAAACCAAATTGGTATGCTGTTTGGATTACTCAACAGACTAATCCCCGTTTTTAAAATTTTTGCCCTGTAAGAAGTCACCCACATTTACTTTGGTAGGGTAAAGATTATTTTGAAGTGTAAATTTATAGTCTCTGATACATCAAGGACTTCTGTGTTGTGAGCTTTTGAGAAAAGCCTGCTAGAATTGCAACTAGTTTTGGGCTCAGCAGATGGGAATATTTAATATTCATTTTTCAACATGTATTTTATTGAGCACCTACCATGTGACCTGCATTGTATTTTAAAATGGACAATGGATGAGTCTGTTTGGATTTGGGGTAGTAGAGGGGTAAGTCCATTTGGACTCTTGTTCCTTCAGTTTTTCTGTACTTAAGTCAAACTAACAATCCTGATCTCATAGCTTCAGTTCTTTCGTTGTTTTGAAGATTAAAACTATATGTGATGCCAGAACTAAGTATATTACCTAACACACTAAGTTGGCTCAATAAATGTTAGGAATATGGGTCAGTACAGTGAATAAGGATACACTTCTTTAGGTTTTGAACATAAAACTGAGATATAATTGACTGGAGGGCTCAGAGAGTGTACTCAGTGTGTGTCCAAAAGATGTCCACCAAATTTAATTACCTCCTTTGTTGGAGTTTTTGTTTGCTCTCCTGCTCATTTACTTGGAGCTAGATTTTAAACCTGAAAAGGTTTCCACATCCGTGCTGTATAACCTACAAGGCAGTAAAAATGGACTTGCAGCCTCTGGAATATCTCAGAGCCCTTTGTGTATTGTCCCCCTGTAGTTTTGAATACTCGTGGCTATTTTGTGGCTTTAGCATTTTGAAATAGTGTTTAATTGTCTTTATATTAAATCATGAGAATGTAATGGATGAGAATGACTCTTAATATCAAGGGCCTGAGAGATGATACAATAGTGAGCTGAGTCTTGAGCACTTGCAGATTTGGTAACTTCTGTATCCCTATCATGTCACCAATTACGTTGATTTATTGAGTTGATCATGTTCTAAGACGCATAAAATAGTTACCTGTTTTCTAATTAGAGATGAAAGTGGATCACTGTCTTCTATTCCTGCCTTTTTTCAGAGGCAGGGAAAAGGTGCTGCTTGCACTTTCCCACAGATGGGCTAATCGTTCTCTGTGAATCCACATCAGTCTTCAGATATGCCCTGTATTTGGCTTGAGTGGTTAGTAGATTTTTATTGAAAGGACCAGCATCAGGCGCTGGTTACAATATCCTAGTGATCTGATTCTAGTTCTTAATGTGGTTATCATTAAAACTGCTAGTGTTGAAAGGTTCTTTACAGGAATATCAAGAGGTCTGAGAACATAGGAAACGATTGTGTAGGATAGGGTCAAAATAATTATTTGTAAGGAACATCTAGAAGGAGATGTTAAAATTTACCTTTTTTAAAGATTTTATTTATTTATTTGACAGAGATCACAAGTAGGCAGAGAGGCAGGCGGGGGGGGGAGCAGGCTCCCGCTGAGCAGAAAACCCAGTGTGGGGTTCGATCCCAGGACCCTGAGATCATGACCTGAGCCGAAGGCAGAGGTTTTAACCCACTGAGCCACCCAGGCGCCCCTAAAATTTACTTTTTTGCTATTACTGAATCTAGTAAACTTAGTGTATTATGAACACCTTTAGTGCCTCCTAAGCTAGAACGTCAGACAACCAACAAGAAGTAATGTTCCTTTATTTTTTGATGGATTAGATTTTTTTGTTTGCTTAATATTGGACATACTGGGGGGGGAAAAAGAATAATGTTTTCATTCTCAACAAGTTAAAGGATTGTTTTAAAGAAAGTATTACTTGATTTTTGCAGAAAGTAAGGCATCTTATTAAACAAGTGAGGAATAACCAGTCGGGGGGTAAAGAATTAGATTGATAGTATCCTACAGGGCATCCATTGAATTTCATCTGTGTAATGTAGAGCTCCACATGTCTCTCTTCGTGTCCTCAGTTTGGTGTCACTTTTCATATCTGACACAGATGACTGTTGAAAACCGTAGGGAAAGGTACTAACATGGGTTATCAGTGACTGCTGGCATGATCTTAGGCAATTTGTCCAGTTTTCATTTTCTTTGGTTAGAGATAACATTCTTACTTGATTAATTTTGTGTTTCGCTGGCTTTAAGAGAAACTGTTGTTAAAATATAAAATTGTTTGTTTTGTTTTCTTACAGGTCCTTCAGTCTTGGAGACTATGAGGGAGCCTCTGCACCCAGGGAAAATGTTACCCTTTACAGGGGGGAAGGGTAAACCAGTAGGGAATACAGTACAATCCCAACCCTACTGGGAGGGGCGGGAGGGAGGTGTTGCCGTCACTGTATTAAGTCGATGTTGGGAAACGTTTTAACATCTGGAGCCTTTGTGGGTGGAAATCTGTCTCCAATTACAACTCCGCACTGGATGTGAAGAAGCAAAAAAACAAACAAAAACAAAACCTATTCAGTCTACTCACAAAACAGTACATCCTGGAATATTATGGGGAATTGTACCAAAACAAGAACCACATAAATGATGCATAGGGATAAGAAAGAGGAAAAATTCTATAGCGTACAATAAAGGAAACCTAAGAATGGGGGTTACAAACAGTAAAGAAGCTTTTTTTTTTCCTTAATTTAAAGATTTTTATAAATTTTCCCACATGTTGGGGCCTTGTTTTTGCATGCTGTTGAAGAACTACACAAATGAAGCTAATAGAATTAAAATCAGCTTGCCTACCCATAGTAGAAGCAGGTTCTTGGAAGTTACAATTTAAGGTACCCCAAAAAAAGTTGGAAATAAAACAAAACAAATTTAAACAATGAAGCACCCTGTGAAATGCCAAATGAGTCACTCCTTTTACCTTTGTGGGGTGGGCAGGGAGGGAGGAATAAATGGGGTTGGGCATATCAGACTAAAGATTGACATCTTGATTTTGCATTAAAACATTAATGTAGTGGATATAATTTGATGGTTGTACTTCATTAGATTTAATTTCTAGGCCAAGACGTTCTTTTTAAAGTGCAGTTTAAGGTTCAGGCATGCATTCTGGCTCATAGTGATTGAAAGTACTTTAAATTAGTGGGAAAGTAGCATGCTTGCATCGCATAGAGTGAGATTGGTATTCATTTACCTCTGTGGCGCCAGTTTGTGTTGCAGTTTACCAATTCAATATAGCCCTGCATTTAAAATTCCTTTTGAAGATTTGTGGATTTTTTATTTTTATTAAGAATATAGATATAAAGTACTGTAGTTTACAGCTAGGCCTTGAAATATCTTTTTAGGATCTTGTTAGGAGTAAGATTGATATTGTATTGTGTGTAACCTGCACAATGTGGAAAGCTGATATACCTGTGCAAAATCTTTGCCTCTGTGCTGTCAGTGTGATGTGCTTTCTGCATGGTTATATACTACTAGTGATTTTATCAAAACTTCTAAAACTTAAAATACATGGTAAAAGATCTGTAAGAGGCTGCGTAAATGTTAGTTGGCACATAAAGACAATTGTAGAAGTTGAAGACATGATTGCTATATTTCAATGTTTATTCCCACTCAACATATTGCCTTCTAAGCTTTCTTTTTTTTGTTCAAAGCATGATCTTAAAGATATGTTTAAGTTAATGGATGTAATGCAGGGTTCCTACACTGTATTGGCGCATGTTGGTGGCCCTCTGTGCCCTAGATATATGCACACAGGGTGCAAGTAAAAAGCTACAGAGTGAAAGTTGGTTTGGATCCTCTTCATTTCATTTGTTTAGCTTTTCTGTTATTTTTCTCTACTTACATGTATTCCTGTGAATAAATCCTTGTTAAGTTAACCCTTTACTTTTCCTTCCATGTGTATTTTCTTATATACTGTGAATGTGAAATCCTAACTGGTACACTTGATCTTGTGTGCATATGGAAGTGCAAGTCTTTATTAATTCGGATTGCCTGAACAGTGTATCCCATGATGATGAAGGAAAATGGAGAGCTTTTTTTCTTTTTAACTCTGCTGGTCAGAGATGAAGCCACACCTTTCCATTTTTCAATGCTGCATATTTAATCTGCAACAAAAATGTTAAGCCATAACAACCTTTTTATATTTTAGTTTGTCACCTTTGCATTGCAGAATAAATCCTGAATAACCATTTTTATAAGCAGTTGCTCCTCTTTGCATGGTTCTGTTCTTCTAAAGGTGTTGAATGATACAGCCATTGCACTGAAGTTTGAGCTGTATGCGTGTGAATTTAAAAATAACGTTTCAAAAAATTTCAGATGCATGGTAGCATGCAGAAAAGGTTTTTGTTACTGTGTGTATGTGTATATGTGTGTATTTTTTTAAACATGTTCTTTCACCTTTTTTCCTCTACTTTGGCTTTGCAAATTTCAGTCTGTAGAGCCTGAAATTAAATCCTATTTTACAATGTCCAGTTTTTTGGGGTTTTTTTGTTTTTTGTTTTTAATTATAAGTTGGATCCAAAGGGTATGTAGCATTTTGCTTTCTAGTACCTGGCTTCGCTGGAAGCTCAAAATTTGCTTCATAGTCTTCAAAACCTGATTAGAGTAGCTATTTTATCCTTAAATCCTAGTGATAGTCTGTAGTTTTTCAAATATTCTTTAGAATTTAATATGGGAGGATACCTTCGTATTCTGGAATAAGTAAAATTTAAGTTGGAGAAAATGGCAAAATGCTTCTCTAAACACTTTACTAAAACAAACATATAAAAACAACCTTCAATAAAGTTATCTGGACCTGTGATTGACAACTCTCTATTGACTGAAAAGCAGTTTGTCACCAATTTGATTAAAAGTTGGTTTTTAATTAAGAGATAAGGTAAGAATGTGCCCATTTTTGTAGTCACTTAACTGTTTTTAAATTAAAAGGAAATTTAATTTAAAAATAGAAAGTAAAATTAAGTAAACACGATTGGGTTGGGTTTTTTGTGTACCCCCCCCATGAGGTTATTGTTTCTCCCTAATTTATATTTCAGATACATAGTATAGCATAGGAATTTGCAGAAGCCATTTAAGTTATCTTTTGAGGTAAGCTCTGATTTAGCGTTTATTCTGATAAAAATACATCATGGGATATATATAAAGCAACTTAATTCTTGTGGTGTAGTCTTAATAGTTTTGAATGTTGACTGAATGTCTATGAACTTGTGTTTGTCTTTGTTACATTCCAGTGTTTCTGCCTCTTGGCATGCTTAAAGCACGGCTTACTTCATCTGCTCCTTACACACTAAAGTGCTGTTAGTGTGCTCAACTACAGAAATAGCCGCTGCTAAGTGATGTAGATTTTCTACTTGAATATTTTTATGTTGTAGGAACCTCAGGAGGTCAGTGTTTACTGTTTTATATATGCCTTCTTTTTCCTGTTCGAGCTTCTCTCTTTGAAGGATTCTAACAGAACAAAAGCTGCTGATCAACCTAAGTTGGAAACAGAAAGTGTATTTAATATAATTTAAATGCATGTTTGGCAGTTCAGTGTTGTAGTCAGTCCATTAGCAGGTGAACTTAGTGCCACAGAATTCATTTATTCAGGAAAGAATTTTGCTTTTTGTATTGTCTAATCTCTTTAATAACTTCATACTGTGTAAAAAAAAAAAATCACTTTTTTATATTTTTTCGTTGGTTATTTCCCAAATAATCAACGTGTAAATAATCTTGAAGAGCCAGTTCTGATGCTTTACATTATTGCTACTTGATTTTGTGACGCAAGTTAGGTTTCAGAAGAATAGATTTTAAGACACTTAACCAAGCCATTACATCTTAAAAACGAAATAAGTAGCATACGTTTTGTAATTAACATATTGATAAACACTGTGATTTTTTTTGTTAAGACTTTTTCATTGATCTGAATTGCTTAAATGGCATATATTGTAAAATAGGGTCAGATGTATATTTTAAAATAATTTCAACTGACTTTCCTCTATTGAAATGCTTTGTCTACTCAGTTATGGAATATTCAGATACAAGTTATCTCAGGTGAATACTCTTGTATCCTTTTTGCTTTGGTGACATATGCTTATAAGGGGTCATCATACTTAACTTTGTTTTTTAGTGTATTTCATGACGAATCTTTGCATTTAGTCAGATTTTCTAGTCCTTACTCTAGCAGACTGGGGGGGTGGGGGCAAGATCCCTCCTGGCAAGCCTTTTGCATGCAGGTTTACCTTGAGAGTGAGTTTAATTTGGTCCTCTTCGCCAAACCCTCAAGATAGGAAAATGGATTTTTTTTTGTCCTATATTAAATTACCCTGCATAGCTGAAATGCCAGAACTAAAGTAACTATATCTTAAGCCCTTTAGTCTAAATTTAACTTAGGTCCTTCGCCATAAAGAAAAAAGTGGGTTTTTTGCTTCATATAATTAATCTATATTATTCATATTGAATGTATTAACAGATAACGGTGCAAAAGACACTCTTCCCAAGAGAAGAGTGTACCATGCATAACTGCAATTTGAATCCTTTAGTAGTACTTTAAATAAAATACACACAGCTTTGCTTATTGAGGTGTTCTTTGGTTTTGTTTTTTTGGGATTTTTTGCAAATATTACAAGGGGGAAAACACTAACTGTTGCTACTAGTACTGTTACTGAAGTGTAGGCATTGGAATCTTAAAACTGTGGTCTTCAGATTAAGGGATAATCTAGTTGAAAAATCAGATCAATAAAGAGCTGTGTAACAATATCATCTGATAATTATACCATGCAAGAGCATTGTATACCTACTTTAGTACATTTCATACTGTATTAAATATGGAGATATTTCTAATGCCTCTTAAATTTTGCATAAAAGTTTCATTCACTTGTACACTTTCCGGGTGACATGTGACTAATTTTTTCAGTCTTACGTAGACCTCTCCCCCATTGGTATTACTTATATGTAGAGGATTCTTTATCTTTATGCCTATTATTATACATATTAATTTTAAGGTATACATTTAATTATAGCAATTGTTTATTGTGATTTGTATCCCAGAATGTATTGTTTAAAAAAAAAAAACTGTATGCATGATTTTGAGGGAGGTTAAAACGGTGATTGTTTTTTTCACCTCTTGTACATTTTAAAACCAAATCTATTTGCCAAGCATTGTATCACTAATTAGGAAAGTAGTATTTTCCCTTTCGTTAACAATTTTTGTTCATCTACCATAGAGTCCCCTTTTACTATGGCTTGGTATTATGCAGAGTTAGTTATTTTGCAAATCTAATTATCTTCCTTAAAGCCTACTATAACATGGTTAGCCTATAAGGCAGTGTTTGTCCCCTCCTAATACCAGCCTCATAAAGGGGTTTCACTGTACTTTCCCCATATTCCCTTATTGATGTTCTCCTATGTGGATATAACACCAAATTAAGATTGGATGATTTTTATGGAGATAATAATTAGACAATACTGTGTAATTAATTTTACTTAATAGATTATCATCTGTGAGAAGAGATGTTTAAACGTGGTTAATGACTTCACTTCATATTATAAGGCAGTTTTACAATTAATATTCATGTTAACATTGGGTGCAATAATTTAGTAGTTTTAGCTTTAGTTATAAATAACTGGATCTTTCTGCTGACAACTTAGGTTGTATGAGTTATGCTTAAAAGCTTTAAATCTGATGTTTCTGTACCTGCCACACTATGTTAGAATGTGTCCTTCAAATATATCCTCCTGCAACTTCTCAAACTGTACTAAATTGATATTTCTTGAAGTCTAACTCTGTGCTAACAGATCTTCATTTTAAATAGAATATGGTTTTAATTTTTGATAAGCTGCTGAATTTTAAAGAGAGTTTTTTGGGGCCACCAAATATTTTGGATCATGCAGAGAATATATATTGTACTGTAGTAATTTTGTATTTACATTTGTATGATGTGACATAATAGATGTGAATGTTAATCACTGCTTGACTATGTTAATAAAGTTGTTTAACTATAGATGTTTCACTCTGATTTTTAATGAAAGGAAGTGAGCTTTCTTTTCCCTCCCTCCCCCCATTTTGGGTCCAGATAAGTCTTGTTGCGTTGTTTTTTGTTGTTTGGGGCTTTTTCTTATTGGAGGTATTTTTCTTAGTTTTTACACATAGTACACTTGTTTGACAACCATTTTTAAATTGAGTATTTTTTTATTTGCATAATTCAGAAAAAAATTTTGCCCCATGTTTTAACTGCTAATGTTGCTGTATTTTCTAAACAGTAGATTCTAGATTCAGCTCTTGGTGGGCAAGGAGGGAGAAAATACTGCTCTGCAAAGGAATTAAAAGACAAAGTCCTGAATAAAACATTGTAAGGCTAGATTGCATGAATGTGTATGAATGTCTGTCCTATTAAGGCTTCCTATTTATCCTTCAAAAAATTAAGACTTGTGATTTTGGAAATTAATACTTATAAAAATAGTTTTAGGTTGTAACCCATTATTACAGTTGCATGTGACTAATTAAATGTATTAATATATTTCAGGGGAAATGTGTGCACAACTGTTGAGTAGTCTTTTTTTATTTGAGATTTAGAACATCTCAGAACAAGGAAATCTGAAATTAGATCAGTGCAACCCAAAAAACATGAAGGGAAGTGAGGCTCCTCAGATTTTCCTTTTGTTACTGGCTCATGAAAATATTTGATACAACCTCAGTTGTGTTGGCAAGGGGTTAAAAAATGTGAAACTTGGGTGTTATAGTACTTACTCTAAAATACAAATTACATCTTTATGAAAGAATGTAAGATTTTAGAATTTAGGTTGTAG